ACATGTCTCTTGAAAATATATCTTGAATATATCCAATCAGTTATGTAGAAGTTACATACAACACTCGAGAGGTTTGCTAGTTTGTATACAATTACATTGGTTTTGGTAATTCATAAAATATAATGTATACAATTACATTTCTTAGTGTTTTTCTTATTTCTTTGATTCATCGCAATCAGTTGTGGATCAGTGGAAAGTATAAGAGTCATTTTTCTAATGATAGCAAAAGGTTAAACATATTTGGTGAAATCCTGAATCTGATCTTATAAAATGCGTAATTAATGGGCATTTTCCAGCTATGGAATTTCTGGAAAATGCCCACCAATTATTGATGTATTTTGTAATGAGATTTGCATTTTATGTGTGAGTAAGAGGTCATCAATTATCATCCATTATTTTTCCTTTTTTTTTTTTTGTTATTTTTTAAAAAATTTAAAATGTAAAAAGGAGACTTCACTTATATACTAAGCAGGTCAACTTATAAATTATCATTCAAGCATAATTAAAAAAATTGTTACTCAATTCCTCCTTTCTACTATCTATTCCATTCAACTAAACAAAAGTTAAGGAAGACAGCTTCTTTTCAATAGGGATGCCTCATTCATTCGTCCCCCTCTCCCTTCCATCCCTCTAACCAAATAGAGCATAAGCAGCTACACAATGCATAGTGGGAATAAGATCACTCACAATGCATAAGAGCGGAAGCCCGCTCGAAGCATGAGAGCAGCATCATTTTAGAAGAATTGTGTGACTTGGACCTAACTAGGGATTGCAATGTGGCGGTTTGTGGTGGTGATCTCATTCCCCATCCCGTTTAATTTTTTCATCCTATAACTGCTCCAAAACCCGTCGGGTTTTTCAAAGCAACCCTCTTCCCTGTCCCCGTTCCCATTCACATAATCGGTTCGTTTAATCGTTTCGCAAAACCGCCCCAACGCTTGGGTGGAAAATTTTGTCATCCCTATACTCTTTTTTTTTTGCACAAGACTAAAGACATAAAATGAAATGAGGATCAGGGTTTCCTCATGTATGTATATATATACTTAACCTATTTCAGGGCGGGGCGGGGCAACCCTCCCTCGAAACAGCCCCAAAACCCATCAGGTTTTTCAAAGCAGTGCCCATCCCTGTCCCCATTTACATAATCGGTTCCCAAAAAAGCACCAAACGAGGCAGGTAGGCATGGGCCAGTTGGTGTGGGGATTTTTTCCATCCCAGGGTCTAACCATAATTTTTTTAGAAACTTTATTCTTATAAATAATTACACTTACCTTTTCTTTAAAGAGAAGAAAATATACAAACCCCCAAAGTTTTGAAAATTACATTTTTTTTTTTTTCGACTGGCAAAACATTCATTGTTTTAAGGAGTGCCAAAACTTGAACATCCTAAGTCCAAATTTCAAAAACATAAAAACTATTTAATTTAAATATTTGATATGAAATATTTGACCAATTAAAAGTTCCAAGTGACATGGAAACCCAAACGACATAAATATATTTAAGAAGGTAAATATAACTACGATCACCCTTTTTGATTACTCTTCCACTTCGTGATGGGTAAGGAAAATGAGTCGGTTTCATAACGGGACACTGCCACCATTTATCCTTCTATAAAAGGATTTATCCTTCTATAAAAGGAGTAATTGATAAACCTAAAAAGGGACGCCAAAGATTAAATACATAATTTTTCTTTGACTTATAATAAATCAAGTATTAACTTGATTGTTGGAATGCACCCAGCCGGCACCACGTCAGTCGTCACTTTTCTTGTGTCATGTAGATTTTATCTTTAATTTGTGGGTTGCAACCTTGTGTATTAACAGTCACCGGGTTAGGATGTTTCCCATATATTAAAAAACGAAACATACAATTTTACAATATTAACCTTATTAATGAAATTAAAATTTTAATTCAAAATCACAAATTAATCACCCCATAATTAACAATTAACAAAATAGTTACCAGATGTTTAATAAAATTGAAAATTAAGTACTGAAAATTTTAAAAGCTGAAGTTCTTAAGTGGTAATAAAATAAAATAAATATTTTAATATATATATATATATATATATATATATATATATATATATATTTGGTTCACATTATAAGTAATATCCTAATTATTTAAAATTTTATCCCATTTTAAGTGTTATTTACTGTTTTAAATGATATTCAAATTGACGAACTTAACTGAACAAATGCTTAATAAACTTAAATGAATCCTTTTGGTATCAATTTAGGCATAGAATAGGGTTATACTATTACCTTTAAACACTTCATTCCTTCCCCGTCCTCCCAAAATGGCAATATAAGTACAAATTCTTTTATCAAGAAAGATAAAATCAAAATACTTGAAAAGACAATGGAGAGGGAGGGGCAGGCTGAACCATCAAATGACTTAAAAAAATAATTTGATGCCATCAATTCTCTAATGATTTGACATAAATGATAACCTTTCTAAAGCCACATCGAGCAGTATAACCAAAAGATTTAATCCCAAAAAGTTGAAGCAATGTCGCACGAGTTAAAACACAGGCCTGATGAATTGACAGATGTTAGTCCAAAACATTGAGCTCGACGCAAACAAGCAAGGGAACCAAATTAACTCCCACGTGTCATACACTTTAATGCCGAAAGTATCTTCTTCCTTGTACCCTAAAACAGTGACAACATAAAATGAGCAAGTCACTTAAAATAAGAAAATCACTATATCAATATGCTTAATAATCAATAATCATCAAACGGTGTCCAACTCAATGTACCAATCTCTGCATATATAGCAATGAAATAAAACCCTAAGCAAATAATCAATAATCATCAAACCGTGTCCAACTCAATGTACCAATCTCTGCATATATAGCAATGAAATAAAACCCTAAGCAAACATATTACCAAATAAAACCCTAAAATAAGGACTCATTTGGGGAAGATTTATTTTACTTTGTTTTGTTGAAAACATATAAATGACAACAGAAAAGGTGCATTTTTGCTATGTTTTGTATTGGTCCAAAACAATCCGCCAAAATACATATGAAAGCGAAAAAATAAATTATTTTCAAGTGTTTTGAGTTAATCCATAAAAAACATAGAAGAAACAAGGGGGCAGGTACTATGCACTTAAAATAGAGGGTATAAAGGGAGAACTATATGTCGGAACCTCTCGTCGTTTTGCCTGCCCACTTCCTCTCTAGACACAGCTCTTCCCCTGTATCCGGCGTCTCTTTTTTGGCTATGTAGAGGAAGCAAGGAGTGGGTACAACTAGGCTTCTCAATTCGATCGGGTTACATTTTCGGGCTTTTAAACCACCAGCATGGTTAAAGCTGATATAATACTTCAGTTCTCGCAAACATTTCTATGTCTCTTAAGAACCAAACTGGATGCAATTGATTTGAGAGGAAATACATGGAAGTGATTGCTCTTAGTTGGTACAAAGTTTTTCTGTTATATGTGCTCGTGCATTTCTGTTTTTTGAGTTAGTCTAGGTTTGTATTTCTGGGTAGTAAACTGTGGCTCAAAATCAAGGAAGATATTATAGATTTCCTCAAGATATTCAATATGGTTGAAAAGAGATGGAGCAAAGAGATGGAGCAGAAAAGGAGAGGTCTTTTGTGCAGTTGTGTGGAGGATGAGGCAACTGAGGTCTCTTATGTGCGGCTGTGAAGTTTAAAGATATGTTAGATCTCTAAAGTGGTGCGTGCCATGCTAGGTTTGACAATAAATTAATAATGGAGATTGCTTTAATGTGTTAGATACCCTAAGTATTTAACGGTGGATATTAATATTATTTGTTTCATTTAATTCATTGGGCGGGTTGACCGGGCCTACGAACTCGGGTTGGGCTTCGGACTTCTAGCACACCAACTCGAGCCCAGCCGGAAATGAATTCGGGCTCTAAACATTAAACCTAGGCCCAGACTGAAAATATAAAAAAAACTGTCCAAGCCCAAAAAAATCGGGCTGGATTCCGGCTAAGTCGGGTAGCGTTATGCTATGTTTGGATAGAGAGAGGTGGGCGATGCTCCTGTGTTGTTAGATCTCATAGTAGTGTTATGCTATGTTTGGTTGGAGGGAGGGATTGAGTTTGAGGAGGAATGGATAAAGCTTTTCGTGTTTGGTTAGAGGGAATGAAAGAGAGAGAGGAAGTAAGGAGGGATGATCTCTCCTTTTTTCATGTTTTTCTATTTGTCCAATTTTGCGGGGAAGGGAGGAGAAAGAAAATGAATAACTATCTACAAATTAATATACAATTTCCAATTTCAACCTTCTAAAAAAAATTCAAATGAATATCTATCTTTTATTATTTTATAATAAAATAAAAAACTCTATTTGCCTTCCTTTCAATCAAACAAAAAAAAGTATGACACAATCCATCATTTATATTATCCATTTTATTCAACCAAACAAAAATCGGGAAGACATTTTTCCTTACTTGGGGATTTCTCATCCATCCCTCTCCGTATCTCTTCCATCATTTCTTTTAATCTTTCAATCAATCGAAACATTAGTGTTAGGGTTTAAAAGTTTATTCGAAAAGGCTAACATGAGTTATCGAAACACATCAAATTTAAAGTTTGAGATGGCAGGAACACTCGGTTTCGGAGGACGGTTGGTGTGGTGAGCGTCCATTAACTTGTTCGTTCCCAAGGTTGTTGTAATTACTTGTAACTTAAATTTTCACCTTTGGCACTCCAACTCACTTCCGCTCCTGACATAGGTTCGTTGTATCATTTTCCAAATTATAAATGAGAAAGTCAACGAACAAACTTTTCTTCCAAACTGCTCTCGAAATGCTTTGAACAACTGCGTAACGCACGTGAGGGACCCGAGCGGCACAGAAGCCGTACGGTGGATAACAAGCCACGCCATCTCCCGCCATTTTCACACACCACAATGTCGGAAATAACCCCATAGTCCATCACTCACTAAAGCGCACAACTAGGTCACTACTGAAGGACAATTTTGTAATTTAAAATTTTGCTGTCGTGAAGAGTCGGTTGCCTTTCCCTATCTTCCGCCCCCAATTCAATTCTAACACCTCTCTTCCTCTTCTCACCCTCGTCTCTGTTTATTGATTTGCTTCATTCCTAATAGCCGCATTTCTGCAATTCTTAATTCCCCAAAATGCCCCCGCAAACCAGAAGATCGGCTTTCCCTAAATTCGTCATCGAGAGAGAGACCGACTCTGAAGAAAGTTCGTCCGACGAAGAAGAAGAAGAAAACAATGGCATAGAAGAATCAGAAGAGGATGAAGAAGTTGAACAGCGTGAGAATGAAGAGAAAGCCACAGAGGTTACGCCGGCGAAGAAGAGAGAGAAAGCGCCGATCACCATCAGTCTCAAGAAAGTCTGCAAAGTGAGCATCTCTCTTTACCCCCTCCCTTATTTTTCAGGGTTTCAAACTCTTTATATATGTGTGTGTATATATATATATATATCAATATTGCAGTATTATATTGAAATATGCGATGTTTGTTTTTAGGTTTGCAAGAAAACTGGTCATGAAGCGGGATTCAAAGGGGCTACTTACATTGATTGCCCAATGAAACCCTGTTTTCTTTGCAAGATGCCTGGTACGAATTTGCACTTCAGTGCCAGTTGAATTCAGTATTCTGTTCCTTGTATTGGCCGTGTAATATCCTAGTTGAATATTAGGTTTTCTTTGTTTTGAAATAGTGTTTGCAAGATGCATGTTATTTGTTTAACTCGCTTGTTATTTGAAAATTTGAAGTTTTGAGTGTTTCAATGACTGGTTTTCTTTATACTGCATTGCAATCTTGGATTAACATGCCGCGGCGAACATGTTGGACAATTTGATTTTCATTTGACATCCATAATCAGCTTAATTTTTCCGATTTAATAGATATATAGAAGGTGGCATGAGCAATAGTTTGTCTGAAATATGCACCTAGTAATGATAATGAAATATCTATTTTTAACCTTTGTAACAGTTTCTCTCTCTCAGCATACTCCCATTCCTTTTTCATTACTCGTTCTATGTGTTGTTTTATACTTCAAAATTCAAATAGTTGCACAAAGCTATCAGAATATAATAAAAGTATCTTGTTAGAATATATATATATGTATGTATATATGTATGTATATATATATATATGTATTTATGTATGTATGTATGTACATATATATATATATATATTTTGATTCAAAAGTCTCTGTGATTATTCACTTGTTCAACAGCTTAACATCTGATTTATTTATTTATTTTATTTTACTTTATAACTTGAGCAAGAACATAAGAGTTAAAAGATTATTCTTCATTGTTTTTTATTATGTCAAATTCTGTGCACTTAAATAGTTTGTTTTCTACGGAGTATATTAGATTTGTACCATTTAAAACCGAAAACAGTTATTTTAATTTATCACTCACAGTCCATATCTCCTGCCTTCTGCCCCCTAGTAAGAACATTTCAGCTCTTTAGCTCCATCCATGACCATTTATGCAATGCTTTGCTTTTATTTTTTTATTTTTATTATTTACAGTCTGTACACTAGAAATGTTGAATGAATTGTGTTGGTTATTTCTTCTTTTCTTATCTTTTGATCTGCATATTTGATGATTTCAGTTCTGTATAGGTCATTAGCGTTGGTCATTTTATTATCTAATTATCCATTTGATTGTGTCTTTGGGATGGAAGGCCACACTACGATTACTTGTCCGCATCGAGTGGCTACTGAGCATGGGGTCATTCCTGCACTCCGTAGAAAGACTCGTAACTCTTTGAATTATGTCTTTGAGCGCCAGCTTAAACCCAACATCCCTACAGTAAGTCTATGGACAATAACTCTGATTATAATCCTTTATTCTCGGATTCAATTGCTGTTAAATGTACATTGTTTCTGAAGCATGAAGGTAGAAGACTTTTGCTTGACAGATTTTGTGAATGGTTCTTTTTTATTTTTTATTTTATTGTATATCTTTTTGGTATATTGGTAGGGGATTTGTTGGAGCTTGAAGATTTAAAATTTTGATATATTTGAATAATTGAATTATTGAAGTTAGAAATATGGGTTGAACCTTACGAAATTATTTTGGGGATCTTGGAATTTTCTAATGCAATGAAATGCAATTTTTTAATCCTTTATTTTAATGATGTTGGAGAATAATTATAGGAGTGATTTAAGCCCTTAAATCACTCCTTGACAGAATGTTAATGTTGCTATACTTGGGTAACAAGTTGTTACCATATTTATATTTGACTTTCTGTGTAATTCCTTTATTACAAGTCTTCCCCAATTCATCTATAAATAAAGGTGGTTATTGTAAACAAAATTAAGAGAGAATGTAACGAAAGAGATGTAGCTTTCTGAGCTCCTTATGTTGTGGATGTAAGCCCTAATGGCGGAACCACATTATATTCTGTGTTCTTCATGTTTTAATTTCTCTCTTTAACTTTTATTTTTCTTTCTACATGGTATCAGAGTACGTTTATCATACCTTCCTCTATACTCTACTCATCTCGGATCTTCGGATCAACTCGTTTTGGATCTCCGGGTGAACTCATTTCGGATCTCCGGATCAACTTGCCTCATCTCGGATCTTCGGATCAACTTGTCTCGGATCTCCGGATCAACTCGTCTCAAACTCTCGACAAGTTCATATTTAATTTCAAGTTGGACGCTTGAGTTAAATCTCCGTGTACCAACTTGAGGGGAGGTGTTGGAGAATAATTATAAGAGTGATTTAAGTGACAGAATGTTAATGTTGCTATACTCGGGCAACAAGTTGTTGCCATATTTATATTTGGTTTTCTGTTTAATTATTTATTACAAGTCTTTCCCAATTTACCTATAAATAAAGGTGGTTATTGTAAACAAAATTAAGAGAGAATGTAATGAAAGAGATGTAGCCCTTTGGGCTCTTTGTGTCGTGGATGTAAGCCCTAGTAGCTGAACCACGTTATATACTGTGTTCTTCATGTTTTAATTTCTCTCTTCAACTTTTATTTTTCTTTCTACACTAGATGTATATGAGTGCTTACCTCTTTCAGTCAAAGTTTATATAATGTCATTGTTTATTCCTTTCCTAATGGTCTGTTCTTCCAAGGTATATGTGTTTGTGCAAGTATACCTTTTCTTTTTTGTTTTTGTCCGACTTCTAAATATCCCAAAATCTTATGATACTCAGTACATTGTATGATACAGGAAAATTAGAACTGGAAATGATACAGGATATATATTATAATGAGGATGATCTTCACCCTCCCCTGTGCAAGGGAGAATCTTCTTCTTTCCATTATACCCTGCTATTTTAGTAAATTTACCAACTCTAGTTACCAGGGAAATTATTATTTAGCTGTTATATCTTTGGTTAGCCCATTTCCATATGGCCATTTATTTTTATGTTCAAGCATGGTTTATGTTGGAGTTAACACATATTCTGTTAGTTAAAGTAAATTCAAATTATAGATTTCTCTTGAAATTAGTTATGATGAGAACTGAAATCAAGAGAAAATCAACTTTGTTATCTGCATTGCATTGATCATTGTCCGTATGAGCTACATGGTTGTATATATGTGGATAACTCCTTAGGTCTCTAAGTTGGAGCTCTGTTATTCCTTTGAAAGTTGATTTTGGTGTTCAAGTTATGTTCCTGGGTTATTATTGTTAAAAATTTCTTTACTTTGATGTTCAAGGTTCAGAAAGTGTTAAATTTAGATGCTAAATTTTCCTTTCCTGAAATTTATTTCCTTTTAGTTTCTTTTAAGGCTAGCCAATGAACCCACTGTTCAAAAAGTTCTTAAGTGATAAAAACCATTAAGCAAATTATATATATATTTTTATTTTTATTTTTTATAATTTGCTTAATGGTTTTTATCACTTAAGAACTTTTTGAACAGTGGGTTCATTGCCTAGCCTTAAATTAGCATTTCTAGCATTCAGGTTGTATACATTATTTAGTCGGTGACTAAGTGTACAACTAGCTGTGAATATTGAAGCTGAATTGTTTTCTTCTGTGTTTTGTTTTGTTTTTGGAACATTTTGGTCTTCAGAATTCTGCACAATCATTATTTTTCTTTTGTAGATTTATGTGATCTTTAAAAAAAAAATAATAATAATAATAATAATAATTTATTTTTTTATCCGTAATAGATCAAACCGACATTTGAGATCCCAGATCAAGTGAATTGTGCAGTTTTAAGGTACCATAGTAGAAGAGTTACATGCTTGGAGTTCCATCCAACAAACAATAACATTCTTCTATCTGGAGATAAGGTTAGTGTTAACTTTTTTATACACCAGTGTTTGGTTGAACTATATGTTGATTGAGGTTGCGTTTTTTTTTTTTTAATGATGATTGACTTGTCTTCTCCTTTTCTGGTTCATTGTAAAAGAAAGGACAACTTGGAGTTTGGGATTATGGTAAAGTGTATGAAAAGACGGTTTACGGAAATATACATGGTTGCATACTTAACAACATGAAGTGAGTTATCTCTTTTTCTAGCTCTCTTATTTGTATTTATGTTCTGGAATGCATCTCTATTTATCAGAGGGCTGATTTTATCCAAAATATTCCTATCTTTAGGTTCAAGCCTACAAATGATGTAATGGTATATGCTGCATCATCAGATGGAACCATCAGTTGCACTGACTTGGAGACTGGAATCTCATTATCGTTGATGAACCTTAATCCTAATGGGTGGCAGGTATTTCATCAGTCATGTTTTTCTTGACCAGTCTGACTCATGATCAGTTTTCTGAATCTAAAAATTTAGTGCTGTATATGACTGTTGTAAGCCGATTATTCAAGCTATTTAAAATCAGTAGGATGTTCTTGTTAATGTTGCCGATTGTCCTCAAACTTCTACACCTTTTTATCTTTTGGTTCTTTTCCTTTCTTATTTGGACAGCTTCCTCATATTGAAACATGTATTCTTTTATCTGATGTTATAATGATCTTTTGTTCAGTTTTTGGACACATTGCTTGTGCACCCATCCTGGCACTTAATTATATTCATCAAGTATTTGAATCCTCTAATAATTTATAAACTGAATTAATATTTATATCAGCAAAGCATATTGTTCTTATTGAATTCCTGTATTCTTGAATATATTTAAATGAAGATCATTGCTATTGTTGGTCTGTATAAATCAAAGCTTTTCAAAGGGGTGGAATGAGTGCAAATCTAGCCCCAGCATTATCTCCACGGGTTGGTTGTACTGAGAACAGTGTTGTCACAGTTTGCTGCCTGAGTTATTAAATTTTTGCAGTTGCATCAAGCAATTGTTCCAGCTCGACATATTTAAATATTTGATATCATTCAATGTTCACTTCTATTAGTTGCATAATCAGTCACTCAAAGGTTTAACAGATATAGTTGATCTGATTTCATTATCTGTTATCAAGTGTGAGTTATAGATTGTCTTCTTGTAGGGCCCAAGCAGTTGGAGGATGCTTTATGGGTTGGATGTGAACTCAGAGAAAGGTCTTGTGCTTGTTGCAGATAACTTTGGATTTCTTTACTTGTACGCATCACTTCTACTTAACAATTATTTTTAGCATCAGAAAGATATAAAAGCAATAGAGATGAAATCCAATTCACGAGTATTATAATTAATTATAAAAACCTTTGATGGCGGTTCACATTTTGCTGAATGAATTGTTGCTATTTTTTCTCACTACCTTTAAGAAATCATTTTCTGGTGTCCCAATGAGTCAGATGTTTTCTTTTGGAAGTAATCGGATGATTCTTATGCTATACTTAAAAGGTATCAATTTTTTTCTTTCCAATGGGAATGAATGTCATTAGAATGATGCAACCAGTGGGCAGCATTTGGAATGAGTTGTAATCTCTCAGTGCTTGATTTTATATGTATGATTTCTTGGCCCAAAATTTCATAGACTGATGATCAGTTGGATATTTAAATGAAGACGATTTTGTTTCTCTATTTGGACTTCCCTTAGCATGTGTGATGATGAGACAATTGTAACTTTGTAAAGATCCAAAGGGACATATCTGAAAGTGCGCTGCCTTAGGTATGACTTCATATTAAATTAAAACGATGATGTTTTTAAAGTGTTTTTTTAGATTTATTTATGTGTATTATTGCAGTAGTTTCTGTTCTAAAACTCCAGAGTTCATTATCACCATATATATGGGATAAAGGCAAGGATGATGACGACGATGATTATCACCATAAAAGGTTGTGTTGATGAAGAAAATCGAACTTGTGAAAAATGGAATTAAACAAGACTGAGATCTTGAAATAAAAGACCATGCTGTAATTGCATCTTGGCTTAGGGTATCTGAGACTGGGAGGTGTTGCATTGCTGCATAGATTTTAAGCTCATTTGTTCCAAATATTTTTGTCTTGTGCTTTTATTGAACAGAACATATACATAACCTTGGGTTGTTGTTCTGTTATTTCACATGTAGGGTGGATAGCCGCTCTAACAGCAAAACAGGGGAGCCTATTTTGATTCATAAGAAAGGAAGCAAAGTTGTTGGGCTGCACTGCAATCCTGTTCAGCCAGAACTTCTTTTGAGTTGTGGAAATGATCATTTTGTAAGCTTCCTTGATTTGATGTTTTTTATTATTATTATTTATTACGGGCTTGTAGAGAATCAAAATATCGTGAGAAGACATTTTTGTCTCCTGAGTAGCACAACATCATGTCTTGTTCTGTTTGTTTTTGTTATGGCCCTCAAAAGGAAATGCTTTTTTTACCCCAGGCTCGTATATGGGACATGCGTCGGTTAGAAGCTGGATCTTCTCTTTGTAATCTTGCACATAGACGTGTTGTTAATTCTGCGTATTTTTCTCCACAAAGTGGATGCAAAATACTTACTACATCGCAGGACAACAGACTTCGTGTATGGGATTCTGTATTTGGCAATTTGGATTCCCCAAGTCGAGAAATTGTACATAGTCATGATTTCAATCGACATTTGACTCCTTTTCGAGCAGAATGGGATCCGAAGGTGATCTTATGCTATGCCAATTTGTAGCATGAAAAATATTTTTCTGCAATAAATGCCTTCAAAGAAAATTCAGAATTTGAAGTTTTTATTTTATTTTTATTTTTTATGCAGGACCCATCAGAGTCCCTTGTTGTTATTGGGCGCTACATAAGTGAAAATTATAATGGAGCTGCCTTGCACCCCATTGATTTCATAGACATAAGCACCGGTCAACTAGTTGCTGAGATCATTGATCCAAACATTAAGACCATCAGTCCCGTGAATAAGCTACATCCACGAGATGATGTTTTGGCATCTGGCAGTTCAAGGTTTGTACAATATGCATCATTGATTTTTTCTTTAAGTGGTAGATTTTTGTTTGAAGGTTGATGGTTGTGTTTCCAATCTTTCTATTGCCAATTTAGCAAGTTTAAAATGAAGTAATTTTTCTTTGACCTCTACAGTTTCTGGCCGGTTCCTGCCTCGTTTTTTGTTGCATGCCTTCATCAGTCATTCCTCATTTACCTATGTAGAGCAATCTGACATTATTTTGTTGAATTAAGAAATTCCTCTTCATTCTTTGTGAAGTGTATTAATATGTGAATAGGTATTAGGTATCCTAGTTGTCAGACAAATTCTTTTGGTCAAAACTGACACGATCTCAATAAGATAACAGAAAATTTCCAATGATATTTTTTCGCAAATAATTTTCTATGATTTTTTTCGAAGTTCTTGTCAGGAGGGTGCAAAAGTCACTGAAAATTGATAAATAGTGGATGGTTATGAAGCTTGATTTACCTGAATTGAGAGTGGATTTATTTGGAACTTTAATATTGGTATGTTTTGGTTCAGATTCCGTGTTGAAACTATAAAAATAAATTTAAATGGCCAAAAATAATAGAAGTGAACAAGATGGTAGATATATATATATATTTTAGCTGCTAATATCTAAGCATGAATGGACACAAAATCTCCAAATAAGTATTTGCACATGCATTTAACTTCTAAGATGTTACACACCAACCTAGACCACTACGTTGAAGCTAATTACATCATTTATAGTCTGGAAGATGTATTTCTTAATGTTTTTCTTTCCAAATGATCAACCTCATTGTCGAAAATTTAATAGTTTTACCAAGGGCCTTGTAGCCTAGTGGTGCTTCCTCGCCTTTCAAAGTAGAAGATCAAGGGTTCAAGTCCCCATACGGGCAAAAAGTTGGTGTGTGACTGTTTTTTGCCAATGAAAAAAAACTTAGTAGTTTTCAGAAACAAATAAAATTCTCTAAAATAAAACCTGGATAATTTTGTTCGCCGATGATTCCATGAAAACCGTAGTTTTATTGATGTTATGGCTTCAGGATTTTTATTTGCACCTATATTATTTCTAAGAATTTTGGCCAGTTGTGTTTTAGTTCATCTTTAAGGTTTTGGAGTATTTAGGTCATTGATATTATTTCTTTTAAATAGAATTGTTATTAGGTGTGCAGAGAAGGATGGATAATATTACAAAGATTTTTTTTAAGTTGCTTCTGATCCTGTATTTGATAATTGTTACTTCTCATTGTTGATGTGCAAATGCGGTTTTCGTCTAATCTTGTTACTCTTTCAGATCTCTTTTCATTTGGAGGCCTAAGGAGATGTCTGAGATTGTGCAACCAGATGAAAAGAAGATTGTACTTTGTGGGAGGTCGGAGAAGAAATCTAACAAGAAGTTTGAGGGTGAAAGTGATGATTCTGGTGATGATATATTCAGCATGAAGGGTAAGAACTCTAAGTCTAAGAAGCCCGGACCAAAATCAACTCGATGTAATCTTAAGGGCAAACATTAAGCATATGAATGGAAATCTCACAAAACATACTGGTATTACATGTAGTCCTAGCTAATTTTTGAGGCTGGTATTAGATTTTTTCATCTGCCAACCTTGTATAGGTAGCTAGCCTCTTTTTTTGCCCTTTTGGCTGCAAACTGAGTTTTCTTTGATGATACAGTATTGCACAGGACGTGCCGCTTTGTAACATTTCACCGCTGTTCTCTTTCTTTTGACCTTTTCTTATCTGATTTTGGATGTCTTCTTTTCCCCCTTGTAGGGCATGTAGCATAGCTTTTTGGGTTGTATATGCTTTCTGAAGACTTGTATTTTGTTAAGAATGTAATTGATAAGTTTGGAAGTGGTTACATCAGCTACTCTTTTTAGAGGTCATTTTATGTAAACCCGATATGATGGCAGTGCTGTAGGCCTATATATATAAAAATATAATTTTACCTAATCTTCCTAGTGATAATTTATTGGAGAAATTATTATATGATCTGGGACCAGTGGGACTAGTCACAAACGGCTGCAAACGAAAAACCGAGCAAGGCTGACACATTTGCTTGCTTGACATGTGATTATCCGGATTATGTAAAAATTTCTCCATTTTTTGATTCAATGGAATGGCAGATGTTAACTTTGTATGTGAACAAAATGTTAGATATGGAGTGCCCTAATAACTCTCACGTGCCGGTGTTGAATTGCCAATATTGTGTTGTTCCATTTAATAGCTAAAGCTGTGATTGTAGTTCAATTAATTCCCAAAGAGTTATTTGTATAAGTATTGTAAATTGTTATTTTCATATTTTAGGATTTACGTGTGCGGGCATCTAATATATATATATATATATATATGGTGGCTTTTGTCTCTCTCTGTTTCAACTATTCTTCTTAATTAAACTGCTATATGATAATGGTAGATATAAAAGATGCTACAATGAAAAAGGTGAATCAATGGTGATACCAAATTTGTTAGGTCACTCGTAGCACTGGTTCGAAAAGAGCAGACACAGAAATCAATCAAAAAAGCGGTTTTAAGAGCATTTGGATCTTTTCTGCTTTTGATTTTATACGGAATATTAATTTTTAACACGTATAGATGATGTGGGCATGACATGTTAGAATTGTATCATAAGTTTTATGATCTATGAGCTGATTGGTACTTGTCCTTTCAATTTCTACTCTTGAAACTTGCATATTTCTAAGAGTGGAAAAGAAATGAAGGTTGGTGATTTGATTAGAGCACCATAACAACATATCATGACTTTTTATTATTTTTTTTTATTAATGCTAAGAATGGTCATTTGATTAGAAAGCACTATAACAACATATCCTGATCTTTTCGGAATTAATGGTAGAAAAAAAAAAAAACTACTGCAACTTTTAATTTTTAGTAACAAACTTAGGTGACAAACTTGCACTAACAAAGGGTATTTCTGTCATTTCAAGTCTTCAAAATCTCACCAAATCCCTCCACATCCCATCAGTATAAATTCGCTGTGTTGCGCCCAGTCCGGCCTCGAAATAATCACTGGTTTCCACTATCCGCACTTCTAGAGAGAGGCAAAGCAATCTGACATGGTTTCCACTACCGGAATGCAGATAAATAGTTGTTATAGTGAGAGATTGATCAAAAGAAAGGGAAAGATAAATAGTACAGAAGAGAATGGAGATCATGGAGGCTTCGAATGGGAATGTGTTCTTGGATTTGGAGAATGAGACGTCGTCGAACGCTGCCGAGGCGGTTGCCAAAGGTGAAGAAGAGCTTCTTTGGGCCGCGCTCGAGAGATTATCGTCCAAGAAACGGACGAATTTCGCGTTGTTGAGGCGGTCGGTGTCGGAAGCGGACGGCGGAGAAGAGAGGATCGAGACAATCGACGTGAGGAAACTGGATCGATTCAGTCGTGAGCTCGTGGTAAAGAAGGCATTGGCCACCTCCGAGCAAAATAACTACAAGCTACTCTCTGGCATCAAGCAACGACTCGATAGGTGTGTTTGTGTGTGTTTATTTATATATGTTTTTGAATTTGGGATCCTATTCTTGATTTATAAATTATTGCAAGTAAACTGAATTCAACAACATCTTTATGAAGTTTTTGAATTCAGTTCTTTGGCGTTTGAGGTACTTTAAATTTCAAAGAATCTCCTCTTCATTGTTGTATGAACATTTATTGTAAACTTGGATTTGCATATCCACAAAATTGATCATTACTAGTGATTAAAAGTCATGCCCTATTCTCGTTTCAGTGTTGTATGAACATATTTATTGTGAACTTAGATTTATTAGAGTATCTACAAAAAATTACAATTTAATTTTACTTATTTGCTTTGATTAATTTATGTTTCATATCTCATCTTAAAAAGAGTCGGATTGGAGGTGCCAACAGTTGAAGTAAGGTTCGAGAATCTTAATATCAGGGTCAACGTTCAAGTCGGCTCAAGAGCTTTGCCAACTTTGGTTAATTATGCTCGTGACTCCATCGAGGTGGATTAATTTCTGTTTAAATTCTTTATTAATTGAGGCTAATTTTTAGTCAATCTATTTTTTCAAACTTGAGGCTAATTATTAGTAATTGGATGCAGCATGTCTTAACTGGTCTGAAGATCTTCAGTCCAAAGAGGCATTCTTTAACCATCTTGAACAACGTCAGTGGTATTGTAAAACCAGGAAGGTAAAATAATTCTCTCTCATTGATTCAGCGGTGGTGCAATAAAATGTTAGTAAGGAATTTGGTTGTAAATTTGGCATGTACCAGGACAAGAATGGGATTTATTTAGTACAAATCTCTTAACTAAAAAATTTATTTTGCCCCAAAATGTAAACTACTAAAGGGAAAAATGCACAATTCGATTCTTAATAAGCACATGGATGCATGCATATTACTTATTGTTACGAACAAAAAACAAACACCACACAACGCAAAGATCTAATCTCTGAAGCCCTTACCCCAGTACACCCTCACTCTCTATCTCAGTTTTCAGTATTCTCTTTGAACAAACAATGAAAACCTTAGCACTATTATTTGGGTCAAAACCAGATTGCAACACAACCCAGGCCGAAAGCAAATTCGGGCCACAACTTAACACTTACAAAAAAAGAGTAATGCCTAAATATTGTGTTTAGCTAAAGGACGTACTTAAGTTGGAGGAGCCAATTACAATGTACTGAATTTTAAGGAGTATTGTTGTTCCCCTGTTGAATATGCTTTTAAAGGAAAACTTCTTAAGTGCAGCAAGATCACATGCAATCACAAATTCATACAGTACTTTCTGTATAAAACTAGTTTTTGTAATCCAATTTATGTCTTGGGCTCATATTTATAATTGAACTACAATAGTACAATAGGATTTGAGATGCCGTCCTTTCATTCTGATGTCATCCCGACACTTGCCATTGCATAACAACAGTTTTCGCTTTTGTGGTTGATTTAAATTAGTAATTACTAATTTGTGATACAACCCTTGTCATTGTTGCATCCATGGCAATTTATTCATCATCTGACTTCCAGTAATTGGCATTACGGAGCATGATACTAGCATCTAGCATGCAAAATCGCTGACATATTTGGAGGCCCATGGTTACATTCAAAAGATCACATTTTATATGGTTGAAGAATTGGTGAATGCAAAGTTGTCCCGAGAGTTCATGAAACTTACAAATGGATGGAGATACCTTTACTTCCTACCAAAAGTAACCTGGAGGTCCTGGAGATAAATATGTATTTTTATTATTTTTATTTTTTAATTGTTTTGCTTTACCGATGATTTTATTACTTAAAGCACACATGCCCAGTATGCCTTTCATGTTTGACGTTAACTGTATCTTGAATGTAGAACGAAAGTCAACCGTAAACAATAGGAAGAAACTCAAAGTTTCTTTTGAAATTAAACCTTGCCACCCATTCTAGTATGACCTTTTGATCAATTATCACTTTATCAGATAAAGCATGATAATAATTTTTTTTTTCCCCTTATTGTAGGAGGATTTAGTGATCTTAAACACATATTCGCTCTTGGAAACTTAAAGGGCATGATACTTGATAAGAAATGGGATCACAGATTCATGCTGGAAGATGTGAAACTGTGGAAGACTGTAAGGTTGTGAATGTTTTAAAAATGGGTGGCCCAAACAAGGAGGAAACAAAAGAAAGTAAAGTGAAGTACATTGAAAGTAAAATTCATTTTACTAGCTATCTCTTTTCTTTCGTTACTGTTGGTCCGATGGTTTTACTGTGGTTAAGGGCTGCCTAGTGACTTTATCAATTAGCTTAGTTGAAACCTTCTACTTTTGAGCTTATTTTACATCTTCAATGTTTCATTATAACGGAAGTAATTTAAGGTACTTATGTTTCTGGTTTTGAGTTTTGTTAGGATGACTTTGCTCTTGGGCCCTCCAGGTTCTGGAAAATCCACATTACTTTTAGCTCTCGCAGGGAAACTTGACCCTGACTTAAAGGTTTGTTCTTAGTACAGTTCTGTCTAAGGGCAATTATAAACATTTCTCGTCATCCCTGATTAATGTATTGATTTATATCTGAAACCCTTGTATCTGAGTCTCTTGGACCAATTTGATCTTGGAAGATGCTGTCCAAGCTGTAGATTCAGTCATTGTGCCATGACTTGTTTCTTGTGCATTAGGCTTTTTGGTTAAAGGCTCTTCAATTTAATTGGAGGAGAGAAACTGCTACAAAAGGGGAAGGGAGATAATTTTTGAAGAGATGAAAAGAGTAGTGGGTGGTAAGAAGTTATGTAGGGATAGTGGTTTTTTTCATGTTGTGCAAAAATATACTTTTTAAAGTTTGAAGTTCCAAAGGGTGAACCGTACAAGGCTCTCCCTTGGATGAATTTAAGTAGGACTCATTTTGGCCCCACTAGAGTGCAATCCATAAGCACAGACACCTTTATGTTCACACATGCACACATTATTCTTTTGTTTCAAAGTTGGCAGATCACCTCCCAAATTAAGTATTTCAATCCTTTCACAACCTTCTCTTCTATAAGAAGCAGCACACAAAGTGAATGATAGGAATGACACAATAAATTTTGTTGATCCCACTGTATTGAAACTTGTGATCCTAGAGTGGACAATATCATAATGGTTTCTCTTTTGTACAATTGAAGAACAGGCTTTTATATTTTCTAGGAAAATATCAACTTAATCTCGATTTTTATTTAGTTTCTTGTTCAAACTTCTTCCAGAGATAGAGGGTAGTCGGATTTTCCATTAGATGAAAAGCAACAATGGATGGTTTACCTTCATTGAAATTTCCATAAAATGCTAGTAAATGCTCCTCTTAACAGTTAGTATCTTGGTTTCAGAAATGTGGAACTATTACATACAATGGCCATAAGCTTGATGATTTCTGTGTTCAGAGGACTGCTTCTTACATAAGTCAAACAGATAATCACATGGCAGAACTAACTGTACGAGAAACATTGGATTTTGCTGCGAGATGTCAAGGTGCAAGCGAAGGCTTTGCAGGTTTGTTTGCTCTAATTCTTCACTGACAGCTTAACTTGTTCCAAAATTTATCTATTTAACAAGTTGGTCTATTTTAGAATTTTCTAATGTTACTTATCTTATATCTGACCTTGTATCTTCATTTGAGTTGCTTTTTCATGAGCCAACGTATTAGCTGCTGGCTGCTGAATTTTGATAGTCTAAAATTCAGGACCTTCAGGATCGCTATAGCTCTGATCCAAAAGTCAGATTTCTGACGCTCTGATAGCACTGTTAAAATTTGTTGAGTGAAAATTGGAGTAAAGGTGGAATCACACTGTTCATTTTTGTTCTTCTATTGATGGCCTCACTGAGGCTTTCTTCTTCTTCTTCTTATGGCCTTACAAGGCTTATATGATCACTTGACATAGCATGTATGCTTCCAGACTTTACTTGAACTCCACTGGTAGATTCATATATACAGTCAACCCAGTGACACCATAACAGAAGACTTAACGATTTTTTAGAGACTACATATTTATAAGGTTTTCAGTATTCATATCATGATGGAATATTCACAACTTTCAAATAGTAGCAAAAACTGCAAAACTAAATTCCTGTGTGGTGGCAAGTTGCTCCTCAATCTTTGCGAACTTTTTCCATGATTATCAATTGCAGAAGTCGTTCTTACTCATATTTATACGCATCTACTCATTTCTCATGTTGTTTCTCTTTTTCCAGTTTTTTGGGGTGTTATGGATCTTCAAGATATCTATACCAGTCTCCCAGCAATCCACCTATTATGCTCTTTCACTCTTTTGTATCTGCTTTGTTGCTAGTTTATTTCTTAGACTTCCCCATACATCGCTTTGATCTATTCACAAAATTCATACCCTTGCTATATCATTTTGTTGTCTGACTGATTTTGGTTACTGCATTTGAAATATATGATTGCTTTGTCCCAATAAAGTCATTAATTGCAACAAAATGTGGTTGTCTTCTATAAATTAGATGGGCACCTATCACAACTAAATTTTGTTGTGTTGAAATTTTATATATTCATGTATATGACTTGGTCATGTTTGTAAATAATTTATGTCAGGGCCTTGTGGTTATGCAATTGAATGGTGTGGACTCTGGCTCATTATTCACCAACTCTTCTGATCTTTTGTTGCAGGATATATGGAGGATCTCACTCGTTTGGAAAAGGAAAGGAATATACGTCCCTGTCCTGAAATAGATGCTTTTATGAAGGTTGCCTTTTTTAAAAAGATTTATCTTGCCAATCTTCTATTAATATACTTATCTCACTAAACTAATCAATTTTTTAATTATTTGAACTCTAATTCTAATACTTTCTGAAACCAAAACTAATTGGTCAGGCATCATCCATCAGTGGTAGAAAGCATAATGTCTCAACAGATTATATCTTGAAAGTGCTTGGTCTGGATATATGCTCAGAGACCCTTGTTGGTGATGATATGTTCCGCGGTATTTCAGGTGGTGAAAGAAAGAGAGTTACTACAGGTTTGTCTGTCTCTCTCTCTCACTCACTCACTCACTCACTCATGCATGCATGTGTACACATGTGGCGGCATTATTAGATGTTAATTAATGAACTTTGTTGGCTTTACTGCTTATACTTTCACACTGCTTGCTAACAAGTATACTTGATTTGCCCCTTCGCATTATAGAAATGTTGCTAGTTTCTGCCTGCTGGCGATAATTGGATCTATAATGGAGCTTTAAATTTCTTCTTGTACTTTTTACTGATGTTGTGATTGTTGATGTTAATGGAGATGCCAAAAAAACTATGTTTATTTGAAGACTCTTGATATGGATGCAATGATTGTGATTCAAAATTAATAAGTGTTCCAAATTAGATGCTGAAGGAGCATATAAATATATATGTTTATATATGAATATATCTTTTATATTTGCCTATGATGAATAGTTTTAATATTGCATATGATGTTGGGTGAGAGCCAAGGCGGCTTGCTCTGAGCTCCATTGCATAAACTGAGATATGGTCAAAGAAACTTTTTTTTATAACAGAAAGTGAGCCTTTATTTATTTATTTATTAAACTAGCGGCTTTCTAAGAAGCACGGACACGGATACGGGACATGGATACGACACAACACGGACACGGAGACACGGCAAATCCAAAAAAATTAGGACACGGACACGGCGAATAGTATATATATATTAAATATATATATGATGTAGTACTTTAAAAATTACTGAGTGTTACTATTTTTCATCAACCTCATAATGAAAAAAAATACACAAATCATAACTCATTTACTGTAATAGTGTAATGACTAGCCCTTAAATATCTATTTGTTTTGTCTAAAATTGCATATTAACCTTACAAGTTTAAAATTATTATGTATTTACCACATAAGTGAGAGAAAGTTGTTAAATAACTTCACATATTTATACTTTAACCCAATTTTCTTTCAAAAATTATCTTTTAGACCTCCGAAAATAAGACACGCGTGTCGGACACACACCCCTTGCGTGTCAGATGCGTGTCAGCGGAGTGTCCATGCCGTGTCTGAAAATTAAAAAAAATAAAAAATTTCAGACACGTTTTTTGGTGTGTTCGACACATGTCGGGGCATGTCCGACGCGTGTCGGTGTCCGACAAGTGTCTTACATGGATTCTTCGCCCATTTTGGCATGTCCGTGCTTCCTAGGCGGCTTTCCTTGTGCAGAAGATGGAGAAATCAGAAGTACGCGATTGTTGAATAAATATGATAAGATGTCAGGTCAATTACTCTTACATATTCCTTAATCATGGTACTATACGGAGTGAATGCTCAAAACTCTTTGTACATTTAAAATTGGATGTACTTTGCAAGGAAATGATTTTAACCCAATCAATAGGCCCAACCATCAATATGTATTCAAAACTTGTAGAGGTCCCCTGTGTGTTATTTTCGTGTTTTAAATAATTTGTGATTTCGATTTAATGGTTTTTACTTCTGAATTGTTTTTGTTATTTATTAAATTATATGCAATCTAGATATAATTACTAGACTGGTGATAATTAGTAGACTGTTATCTTGGTGTGGCCCCATTTGCTAGTATTCCTAGCATTGTTGGTGCCTTAGACTCCCTAAGTTACTATCTAGATACTTGCATGATTGTGTTGCTCTAGATGAGTTTGTGTGGTGGTGTTCTCCATTATGGGTTCAACTCCCCTATGTGGAAAGTGGAAACTCACCCGGTTAAAGGTATTATTTCTGGAGTAGGGATCAATGTCAATTATTAAAGTAGTTTGTTTTCTCTGGGGAAAATAAATGAGACGCAACAAAAAGATGTCTGTGCTCAAACTGAGGAACAAATTCTCATTGAGCTAGGTTCTGTGACATTCTTTCATCTAATAATAAAAGCTGACTACAATTCTGATGTAGGAGAAATGTTGATTGGGCCAAGAAAAACCTTTTTCATGGATGAAATATCTAATGGACTTGATAGCTCTTCAACATATCAAATTGTAAAATGCATTCAGAATTTTGTCCACCAAATGCAAGGAACAGTTCTTATGGCTCTTCTTCAGCCTGCACCTGAGACATTTGATCTATTTGATGATCTGGTGTTATTATCAGAAGGGCACGTGGTGTACCAAGGCCCTCGAGCAGAAGTCTTAGAATTCTTCGAATTTTTGGGTTTCCAATTGCCACCTCGTAAGGGAGTTGCAGACTTTCTTCAAGAGGTATTCTCCTTTATGATGCTTTGCTATTTTCCTAAGTACTTGCCTAATTTATTGTATTTCCAGGTAACCTCTAAGAAGGATCAAGCACAATACTGGGCTGATTCTTCGAAACCATATGTGTTCCTTCCTGTTCCAAAAATTGCAGAAGCATTTAGAAATTCCAGACATGGAACGTCTTTGGACTCCTCTCTTTCTGTTCCATTTGATAAATCCAAGATTAATGCTTCAGCTCTTTTTAAGATAAAGTTCCCAGTGTCAAATTCAGAGCTTTTTAAAGCATGCTTTGCAAGAGAGCAAATTCTCATCAGCAGGCACCGGTCTCTTTATATTTTCAGAACATGTCAGGTATGTTTTAACTTAATGCTACTATGATCTAATAATTGTCTTTAGATTCTTTTAGATTTAAACTGCTTATAATTTTGTGATTACAAATGTAGTACGTACCTTGTTATTCATGAGGCAGATCTACTTTTTCTTGTTCTAATCTTAGAGTGCCCGGTTGGATTCAGGACTTGGGCATAATGTGGCTTGAAGCAGGGAACAAGGATATTAATTTTTATAGGAATACTTTGTTTAATTAGAAAAACAGAACACATGCTGCCTCCAATGATGAGGCTGGATATCATTGGCCTGAAAATTACTGAGGATAACGATTTTCAGGAAAACATCCTGGTTGGATCTTTCTCTGGCCAACAATGAGCTACCGTGTCAGATATCCTAGGATTAGTTGTTTTTGAGTTAACAAAAGATTTCTCTCCAGTTTTTATAATGTTGTGGACGATCATAACTTCTTTCTATAAAGTTGGATAAATTTTCATATCTGAAGAGGAGGGTGAATGTTGCTTTTTGGTCGATTCTATGGGGATTTTAACTTGAAATTAAGTGGAGTGGATATAATTTAGAATATGGGAATAAGAAGTGCTCAATGAAACTGGGGCTCCTCATAAGGGATACAAATCTTTGGGTGGTTGACTTTTTTTTGGCATTCAAGTATTTTTTTTTTCTCTCTCTCCCTCTTTTTTTTTTTTTTTTCTTCCCAAAAGTTCAAGCAAACACACACTCGCTTTATAATTTTGCCCCCACCGGAATTCGAACACTCAACCTCCCCAAAGAGGGAGGAGAGCTTATACCATCTAGGCTAGAGCCTATTGGTTAGTATTCAAGCATCTTTGACTAGAAAGATTTCATTGAGGTGGTCAATTAATTTTGTCCAGCAGTGAAGGCTCATATTGTGCAGCATTCCTTGATTGTGAACAGAGGAATAGAGGAAGAGTTGATGGATATTTCATTGTATGAGCTCAATTGATACTGTGTACAAGATCTTGACAGTCACATTCCTCTAAAATCAAAAGTGTTCTGATTTTTCAATTTTTTCATTTCACTTACCTCAATTGCTCGTGGCAGGCAAATGTTTTTAAGTGCTTATATGGAATGACAGCACAATGCTAAACAGAATACAGATTAGGCATTTTGTGTTAGGTGGATACAAATAATTACTACAATCAATTGATGGAAATGTATGTTGGGTTTTAGTGTTTACCTTATAGGAACTGGATGGAAGCCTTGGAAGGTAAGCATCCTTCAGAGCCATTAATTATCAATATTTTACTTAGCCTGTAGGAAAAATGGTAAAAAGTGCATTGAAATGTTTTCACTATTACTATTACTATTACTATTACTCTCTAAATTATTTTTCCCAATTAATACTGTATAAAATTTTTGTAACTAGTTATAACTTATAATTGATATCTTATACTTTTGGAACTTCATGTAGCGTATACCTCAGTAGAAATATAAAAAGAAGATGGAGAGAATTGTGTAAAGGCTTGAATGAGATAAATCACTCATTCACAACTCGAGAATTTATAGATAAAAAGAGCACATGCTCATATTACAAGAAAGGAAACTAAATCAAATCTAAATCGAATCACAGCATATTCTAAAGCATACTATAGCATAATCAAATCTCTACTACTATGGTAAGTCATTCCATAAATCGTGGTCGTCATATATGCTAACACTCCCCCTCAAGTTGGTGCGTGGATATCTGAAACGTCCAACTTTGACAATGCATTTTCAAACACAATCTTGCAGAAGCCCTTTGTAAGAATCTATAAGTTGCACAGTGAAAATCTGACTAGCAATGATTTTCTCTCACATGAAGTGCCGATCAACAAATCAAAAATGTCTCCTCAGACCATAAACAATTAACAATATCTCCTCAGACCATTTCCCTTCACATGTTTAAAATAGGTAGATGGAAGAATAAACAATGTCTCCTCAGACCATTTCCTTTCATACATATGTTTAAACAATGTAGATGAAAGAATCAATAATGTGTCCTCAGACCATAAAAAAGAAACAACTGTCTCCTCAGACCATAAAAAAGAATAACTATGTCTCCTTATTGAGGTCTGACCGCCCTGCCTACCCGACACCTCCCGGATGGCCATTAGACCATTCCCGAATGGGTGGTGCCAAACTCACAATGCCCTCATTGCAGTCGGACCACCCTGTCTCTGATACCAAGTAGAAATATAAAAAGAAGGAGAGAATTGTGTAAAGGCTTGAATGAGATGAATCACTCATTCACAACTCTAGTATTTATAGATAAAAAGAGCACATGCTCATATTACAAGAAATGAAACTAAATCAAATCTAAATCGAATCACAGCATATTCTAAAGCATATTCTATAGCATAATCAAATCTCTGCTACTATGGTAAGTCATTCCATAAATCGTGGTTATCATATATGCTAACAACCTCATTTTCTTTTTTGTGTTAGTAAATTTACAGGTGGCATTAATAGGAGTTGTCACGTGCACACTGTTTTTACGAACAACAATACATCCTACAGATGAGATAAATGGCAATCTGTATCTATCTTGTTTGTTTTTTGGACTGGTGCACATAATGTTCGATGGATTTTCTGAGATATCTCTTATGATCTTTCGACTTCCTGTTTTTTACAAGCAAAGAGATAGTTTCTTTCATCCCACATGGGCATGGTCTTTTTCTAGCTGGATTTTGCATATACCCTACTCAGTCATTGAAGCTGTTGTATGGTCTTGTGTTGTGTACTACACTGTTGGTTTTGCCCCTGGTGCTGGGAGGTATCTCCTGCTTGTTCAGTCAATCTTGTTGATATTTATTCATATTTTGTTCGTAGTCATCCTCCCCTTTCTATATGTTCCAGGTTTTTCCGCTCCACATTTTTGTTCTTTTCCTTGCACCAAATGGCATTGGGTCTCTTCCGGATGATAGCTTCCATTGCAAGAGATATGATCATTGCCAACACATTTGGGCCAGGTGGGCTCCTTGTTATATTCTTGTTGGGTGGATTTATCCTTCCAAAAGGTACATTTGGTAGTTTTCGTTAGCTGGAACGTACAAGTAGGTGACATTTAGTGACCAGGTTCCTCTACTTTCAGAAATGATTAAGCCATGGTGGGATTGGGTATTTTGGATGTCACCACTATCCTATGCGCAACGGGCAATTTCTGTTAATGAATTTACTGCCACAAGATGGATGAAGGTGCGCTTTATAACTAGTGGACAGCTGGATGTTCTTTTGTGTAGAACTACATTGCTTCATCTAGGACAAAATTAGCGATAAATCATAAATGTCTTGACTACCTTTTATTGTGGATCACTACTGAATCAGACTTACTGGTTTGGAGAACTATCACTTTACAGAGATCTGTCAGTGGAAACATTACAGTTGGAGACAATGTTCTCCAATCACATAGTCTACCCAGAGAAAATTATTGGTATTGGCTTGGAGTTGGTTTTCTATTACTCTACTCCTTGCTTTGCAATATCATAATGTATTTGGCATTGGCCTACTTTAAACGTAAGTTTGTTTAGACTCTTTTCTTGTTTATCTCTTTTAATGTTGTTTAAGCAAGACTATTGATTTATATCTATCTCTACTCATATTCTTTATTGAATATATACGAGCCATAATAACTGCTATACCTCTGCTCTTATTTTGCATTGCATATACAAGTCATGATATACCTCTGTTGTTTGATCCTGCAGCTATCACAAAAACCCAGGCAGTGATTTCATTTAGTGGCATAGAGGAGAATTCAGCTGGGGATGCTGGTAAGTTATCCTTTCCTTCTAACACCATTAAACTGTTTATCTTCTGCATTAGTGGTTATATTGGACCAGTCTCCTCCAAACTGGATTGTAATATTCAAAACAATTGTTTTAGAATTTCCCTTTAACATGTACTATACTTGATCGGGCAGGAAGAGATGAGGAACCTATATTGGGTCGACTAGCTTTAGAGGATGGAGTTAAAAAGAAGGGAATGATTCTTCCATTTACACCATTAACAATGACTTTCCATAATGTCAACTACTTTGTTGACATGCCAAAGGTTAGGTGGTCAAACAGTTTTGGTTCTTTTAGTTTCCTTTATATCACCTGATGTAAAATCAATTTATTTTTGAGCTTTTCAGGAAATGAATGTGAAAGGTATGAAGGAAAATAAGTTGCAACTCTTATCAAATGTGAGTGGAGTATTTAGACCAGGTGTTCTTACTGCATTAGTTGGTTCTAGTGGAGCTGGGAAGACCACTTTGCTGGATGTGCTTGCTGGTAGGAAGAGTGGTGGATGCATACAAGGGGACATTAGGATTTCAGGATACCCAAAAGAACAACATACATTTGCAAGAATTTCAGGGTATGTTGAACAAAATGATATACATTCTCCTCAAGTGACAGTTTGGGAATCTCTCTGTTTCTCTTCATGTCTTCGCCTTCCCAAGGAGATGGACAAAGAAAAAAGAAATGTTAGTTGCTGCCGAACTCTGCATATAATATATATGCTTCTTGGGCTTTTCTATTATATTTCATAAAACGGTTCACCATCATGTTCTGCAGGAGTTTGTTGAAGAAGTGATGAGATTAGTAGAGCTTGTCACTTTAAGGCATGCTTTGGTAGGTTTGCCAGGCAGTACTGGCTTATCCACAGAGCAAAGAAAACGTTTAACGATTGCAGTGGAACTTGTTGCAAATCCTTCTATAATCTTTATGGATGAACCTACATCTGGACTTGATGCACGAGCTGCAGCCATTGTAATGCGAACTGTTCGTAGTACTGTTGATACTGGAAGAACGGTGGTTTGCACCATTCATCAACCAAGTATTGATATATTTGAAGCATTTAATGAGGTTGGTGAGATTAATATTCATGATGTTTATTGACTATTATATACAATATGTACTACTGTAATTTTACATCGGTGTTTCAATGTGCAGCTACTTCTTATGAAACAAGGGGGCCAAATAATCTATGGAGGGAAGCTTGGTGAAAAGTCACAAACTTTGATAAACTATTTTCAGGTGAGGCTGCGTGTTTGTCTTTACTAACTTCAGTTCTTGTAGATCTCTCTGGTTTATTCTCTTTTAGGAGGAAAAAGATAACCAACTGAAACAAAAATTATACTGTTCAACCGTTACACCATCATAAAGTTGGATCTATCTGGTTTATGCTTCTTGATTTTTGAATTCACAAATGTAATATTGGATTTATTGTGGTCAGAGATAGTCACTTACATAACATAGACAAGGACATGGCCACATGGACCGCATGACAAAAAGGGAACACATTATCACGTCAAAATTCTAAAAATTACAACACAGTGAAAGGTGTAGGGGAGACAAATCAACATGCAATTTTTTATTTTTTTTATACTTGTATGTAATATGATATGTCATATGCATTATCATAGTTGTCAGGAATTATGTCTCAAATTCCTAGTTCGATTAGATTTTTATTAAATGTAATTTTTTGTTTAGAAAATATCTTGTTGGGCATTTGATTTAGGCCAGAAGGAATTGTTTTCCTTTTCTAACAACGAACTTGGGTTAAGATTTATAAATAAATACCTAGTTTATTCGATTGAGATTCATGAGAAAGGTGGTCGACTCCTGAAAGCGATGGATCTGTGAGAGAGATGTGAGGCAGAGGCAGAAAGAACATCAGAGAATTGAAGTGGCCATTGCTCAGAGCTCAGGCCAAACAGGGGGGTTGAGCATGGAAGTGGGAATTGTTTCACGGCTTAGGACAGTATTTGTGTCAGTGTTTCAAGAGTTGCTTCATTCATGGACATAACCAGGGTTTTGCTGAACCACATTAAATATTATTTTTTTGGATCTCAGTGTGGATACTCTTAGAGCCTTCCACATAGATATGACTGGTATCATAATTCATAACTGAAGGATCATCATGGGAGTTTGATATGTGATCCCGAATGCCTAATTAATAGTTTATAACTTTTTATCTTAGTGTAAACTAGTAATCATAATAACTAGGAGTTGATAATGTTGCCTTTTCTTGTGCAGGGTATTAACGGTATCCCTCCTATTCCTGGTGGTTACAATCCTGCAACTTGGATGATTGAGATCAGTACACCCGCATCTGAAGAGAGAATTGGTCAAGACTTGGCAGAGATATACAAAAATTCAGAGCAATATAGGTGATCTTTATCAAAAAAAATTTTTTTTTAATATTGCTGGTTTTTGTAGAGGGGTTGCAGAGAATGTGTTCTAGGGAATCTAAGTGGATCAAGAGTGACCGAAGAATATAACCAAATGAGGGAAGAAAGGTGTGAGGTAGGCCCAACCAATCAAAATGCACCATTCAAGTTGGTTGAGAGCAGTTTTTATGAGTGTGGGACCAACCAACTTAAATGGTGCATGTGGATTAGTTGGGCATACCAATGACATGGTATGCCCGGCTCACCCAATATCTACTCTTGAGGTAGGGGAGAGAACTTAGGCAAGAGCGCCAAAAGATCATAAGGGGGATGGGATTTACGTTGAAATCATGAGTTCATGACCCTCACGTCACCGGGTACCCTTATTTATAGGGGTCTTGGCAAGTGGTGACACGTGCCTTGGTACGGCTTACTCCATAGTTGCACCCATGCACCTTAGTTGCTCCTGGTTGAGGCACGATCATTCTCGACTGAGGTCCCAAGCCAATATCCTCATTCTTGTAGCCACCCAATGAGCCCCTCATTGAAGCCACACCATGCCACTTCAAACCCTTTTTCCCGTTTGGGATCATGACGTGCCGCAACCAGGCAACTGGCATGTTCCTCTACGCAATTTCCCGCCACAATACTTCCTGGGTGAGGGTCATAGGTTCACTGTATTACCTAACCTCTGTGGGCAGTCTATGTAACTGTCTTGCAGCAGTTAAAAGTAGCAGGGGTGTACATGGGTAGGATTGGTTTGGTTTAGACATAAAACTAAAACTAGTCCAATTCCAACGGTTTCATAATTGAAACCAATCTGAGGGCTTTAAAACCTATCCAGTCCATAAAATATAGGATTGGTTCTAGGGATTGGGTTTTCCAAAACTATTGGGCTGTTTAGGATCTAATGTCACAAATTCCCAATTATACACTTGGGATAAATGAAAATCTGCAATCAGGAAGAGAAATATGAACCATGAGAATTTTAATGTAACACAAACACATTTACAATTATATACTTGGTCTTTTTGGGACCCAAATCCGCGAACGATAGCTTTGAATTCACGTATCAAATGAGCAACCCTAGACATGGCACCTTACCTCTGAGGTATCACCCTGCATCTATAGTGTAATGGCTGACTGTGACTCCCGGTTGTATTAGAGGTCTCGTGCAATACATTACTGTACTTAAAGCTTCCTTCTTCAATAGGATCACTGAATCAGAGGACAACATACGTGCACTTCCTCAAGTACAACCTCTTTCACCGAGATCTCCTTAATTCTTCTGGGGAAGTTAAGATCAAAGATATTTTAATTGTGTCCCATTTGGGAAGCGCGGGCATTGAAGTTTAGAATGAGTCCCGTTGGTGTGGCTGCCACAGGCGTGGGCCTTGAGGGTGTGGGCATGAGCCTCACAGGCGAGAACCCGTCATGTTCTCGGTGAAGACGGGTCCATACCTTGGGGTGTATGGACCTGTCTGCAGGCAGGCGTGACACTTGTGTTCAGCACTTTTCAGCACTCATGTTTGGCCCTGTGTGGGCATAGGTTACTCTACGATTTTTGTCTTGTTTTGTTCTCAAACTGAATTATCCCTTATTTGTTCATTCAATCCTCTCTTAACTCTTTATTTTATTATCTAGGGAGGTTGAAGAATCCATTAAGCGTATGAGCATTCCATCTGTTGACTCAGTGCCGTTACATTTTGCTTCCACGTATTCTCAAAATGTGCTGTCTCAGTTCAGAATTTGCCTCTGGAAACAAAATATTGTATATTGGAGAAGTCCATGGTACAATGCTGTGAGACTATTCTTTACTACAATGAGTGCATTAATACTTGGCTCAATATTTTGGGATGTTGGTACAAGAAGGTAAATTTTCATTTTCTTCAATCCCTAATTTTGGATAATGCTCCTTTACTTGTTTCATTTTGGGAATTGATAAGTGATCAAACTTCACAGCCTCTTAGGAATATGGAATGAATTTGAGTTATACGAGGCTGACTTTTAAGATCTTCAAAAAGAGAACAGGGGCCAAACCAGTGAGAAATATATAATAACCTATGATTAATCGAGAATTGGCATAAATTGGGTGAATGATGTTAAAAGAATCTCGAAATTGAATACATCGGGACCATCTGGGGTAAATGTTGAGTTTGTTGTCTCTGTAACTCAAAATGTTTTGCATGAGCTGTCTTTTGTTTGTGTATGGGACCTTAGTTGTAAATGTTGGTGGTTGAAACATGGGTTTTTAGAGCGCTTACTTTGTTATTATTTGTTAAAATATAAATTAATATATGCAAATATCATTGTGAACATGATTTTCATCTGTTAGTTTCTCTTTTTTACTGCAAGTTTGTTCTGAGAGGTATTTGGCCAGCTATTTGGTGTATTGTTTCGTATACTGTAGGGACTCGACTCAAAACTTGCTTGTTGTTATGGGAGCTCTTTATAGCGCGTGCCTGTTTCTTGGGGTCAATAATGCTTCTTCAGTACAGCCAATAGTTTCAATTGAGAGAATAGTTTTCTACAGAGAGAGAGCAGCTGGAATGTACTCCCCGTTTCCATATGCAGCAGCCCAGGCAAGTATCTTGATATTGAGACTCTATATTTTAGTGGGAAACAAGATCCTGGAAAGAAATGAGTTCATTCTGCTGGATAGGGTGAATAGCGTTGTTGTTATTGTCATTGCGAGCTTTATTGTAATATGATTTTCATGCTAAGAGCTAAATTTAGCCATTCCACCTCACCAAACAAAAGATGAAGTTAATTTTTTTTCCTTTTTTTTCGAAAGTTCAAGTTCAAGCAAAAACATACACCCACTATATATTATGCCTCCACCGAGGCTCTAACACTCAACCTCCCCATTTGGGGAGGAGAGCTTATACCATTTGGGCTAGTGCCCATTGGTACAAAAGGTGAAGTTGTTTTCCCATTAAGCTGTAAAAGATTTTGCCGGCAAAGATTTGGAGCTTTACACTAATGACCAAGTCAAAATATATACTTGCTAATATCTAACCATTGCGAAGTGATAAAAAGAAAAATAAAAAATGTATTTGTAAAACTATTTTAGAAGAAAAAGTAATGAGGGTTTTCTAATACCATTTCCATCATCAACTTTTCCAAACACTAGATAGAACCTGAACAAAACTTCTGGATTTACAGTTCTTGTTAACATTTGACTATTGGGCAATGAATATTATTGATTGTCACATTGACAGGGACTTGTGGAGTTACCATACGTGGCAGTGCAGACAATATTATATGGTGTCATTACATACTTGATGATTAACTTTGAGAAGACAGTTGGTAAGAATCTGAGTTTTCCTTTGGAGATGCTTTTTGAAGTGCGGCATTTCTTTATGACACCTTAAAACCCATAGCTCTTTTCATTTTTATCCCGAGAAATATTTCACCTTCAATATACCATGACATCACTAATGAAAACTTTACTTAAGGGTAATGTTAAGATTATATCTACTTAGATGCATCCAAATCAAATTTTGTATATTGTTTTACACTAGCTAGAATATCGCTTTGTGTGTAACTCAAGTTGACTACATGGTGCTCCAAATTTTAATGATTTAAAGATGAATAAAATTTATCTGTAATTAAAAGATAACTTGTGATCCCATTGTTATTAAAAGCAGTATGCATGGATATTGTCAGGCCAAGCTTGCTACTCTGTGGTGGCTCATAAATTAGTTCGTCTGGATTTCCAACTTTTTGGCTCTACATTTTTCGGCATTCTCTGTTCACGATCTATTGTCCATAATCGCTTACTTTTCTTTTGGATTCAGATTTTGTACATATTTACAGTAGTTCATCGATGAACCCACTTTCCACCCCTCCCAAAAATAATAATAAATTAATTAATAGAAATAAAGAATATAATATGATTTGGATATGTCATGTGAGTGATTTTAATGGAAATGCTATTTTATTAAATGCATGTTTCTCCTGTTTTACAGGAAAATTTTCTCTCTACATTCTGTTCATGTTTCTCACCTTCACATACTATACCTTCTACGGCATGATGGTTGTTGGACTAACACCTTCTCAACACTTGGCTGCTGTCGTTTCTTCTGCAATTTACTCGCTATGGAATCTGTTCTCCGGTTTTCTTGTTCCAAAACCAGTAAGCAGTATATTATTCTTCACACAACAATTCATTGCTTTTACAACCAGATTATAATAAATGGTTGTACTGTTCTGTTCACAATGGCATTCTGGTTTTCGGCAACCTTGACTCACAATTCTCTTAAGTCTTAATTAAATTTGTTCAGGCCGAGTAGTCAAGATCATAAACTTAGCACAGACTGTTCAGTGGTTCATCTAAACTATTATTTGTTTTCCAAATTTAACTATTATAGATATCACTATGTAATCTTTCACTTAACATCTTAACACCTAATACTAACATTTTTGAGAAAGTAGGACTAGGTTACAACCCTTAGTAATTGTTATTAACATTTTCATCTGCATAACACATCTTATGCAGTGGAGGACTTCAGTAAATGTTGGTAAATAATTCTCCAAATTAATTATATAAAATATTTGTTTAAGATGAAAAGGAAAAATTGTAACTTCTGAAATTATATTTGTATGTGGAGTTTATTTGTTTAATTGATACAGAAAATCCCGAGATGGTGGATCTGGTTCTACTACATCTGCCCAGTTTCATGGACTCTACGAGGCATCATTAGCTCTCAGCTCGGTGACGTGGGAACAAAGGTTGTAGGATCTCCTGGTTTTGAGGGCTCTGTGAAAGAGTATTTGGAGGTTAGTCTTGGTTATGGCCCTGGGATGATTGGGGTTTCAGCGGCAGTCCTTGTTGTCTTTGGCATCTTCTTCTTTAGTGTCTTTGCTCTCTCTATCAAACTCATCAACTTCCAGAAAAGATGAATTGTTTTTCACCAGATTCCAGCAACGTACTTTCTGATTGCATTCATATGCTTATTGATGCAAATATATTTGTATTATTAAATATTGTTTGAGTTCATGTTGTTTATTTAAATAAATGAATTGGAGTGATACCTCCTCAACATATAAATTCTGTACCTATTAGATGATAGGCAGCAGCATTGTTACTGTTGGGATGATGTGCCTTGAAGCCAATGAATGGAGTGTAATTGACGTTTATTGTTAAAAAAAAAAAAAAAAAAATCTGTGGTTTTAATGCTTTTATATGGTGAATACTGTGTATTGATCAGTCCATGAAATTAATCGATGTGCTCTTTGACTATGCGCGAGTTGATTTATATGTATGATGGATGTTCATGCACGGGAAAAATGAATTAGGAATATGATGCATTATTATAAATATGTTCTAATTCGACGATAGAGGCTGCGAAGAATTTGAACTGAATTGATGATAAGTTGAGAATTGCGATAAGCATCATAGTTATTAATGTTATGGCAATTTGATTCTCAAGTATGATAGAGCTATGGATCTTTACCTTGATCAGTGACTTTAAAATATACTCTCAACACTACATCTTCGTGCATTGATAGAATGATTTTTGTATATATATTTTATCGTAGATATGTTATTTTATTGAGAGGACTTTTTATGTGATTAAACAAGAATAATCAAGGAGCAAAAATAAGTGATTAAATGTGCAATTGGATTGATGGCGAATTTTATTTAATCAAATGGCAAATTCTTTGTGGAGGGGTTTTATCGTAAATTAGCATGTGATTTAACCTTTAAGATCCTCACTCTGGCCCAATACTGGAAGTTAATTAAGGAGCGTGGATATAGTGAAAAGGTTGTAGATGTGCTAAGGGCACTTCTATTTGTGTAGGATGTGCCTATGAGAAATTTTAGAGATTTGTCTATTACAAACAAGACAAATACACTCTTCTTCTTATTTGCTCTCTTTAAAGGTCTCACTAGCCTTCACTTAGAGATTCCATAGACGGGACATAGGGGTAATATCTCAGAGAAAATAAGTTAATTTGTAAGAGCAAGGATTTGCAAAGAAGAAGCCTAAGGATCTTAAGACTTGAAGCCTAAGGATCTTTACACAAAGAGATTGGTCTTCAAGGGTGATAATCTTTACACCTCATACACTATTTTTTAAAAGGTGAACTGTCTCTAAACAAAACCTAGCTTGGTTCGATTTCATGCTCCGAACATAAAACCCATTGGCCATTTCCCAACGGTAACTTGTCATCTTGAAAACTTAGGTATGGGAGTGTTACTGTTGAAAAATCTTACCCTAGTTCATTGAAATAAAATCTAACATAAATAATTAAATCAATGTTATTATATATTATGATCGAAAAGTTTACCCCACTAATCAAGTTGAAGGGGAAAGAAAAGAAACGGTATGGAAATGGGTTTACAACTATGCAGTGCAGGCGCAGACACAAATAAGACAACACAGATACGAAATAATGACACAATATGATACGAATACGTCGATACATCAAAATTTAAAAAAAGTAGTACATAGGGCCGTAAACACAAGTACATATAAATATAAATTTTTATATTTATACATCTGTTCAGTAATAGTATTATAAAACTTATAATTCTTTTATAATTTATATACTAAGAGTTGTTTTGAAATGAATTAGAAAAGGAAATTATATCATTATTGTATTAATTTTTATATCATATATATACATTTATTTCACTACTTTGTCATAATAATATTCATATTATTTTTACTTAGCAGATTTGTGTTAGAAATGTTCAAGAAATATCGGCAAAGTGTTTGGAAAGTGTCGGCAAAGTGTCCAAGATAAAAAAATTAGTTTTTATTTATGGACACGTATATGAAGTGTCGGACACTTATTCGAGGAGCATGCGATTTCAGATTGCCTAGTATTCCACCAATTTGTAACCTAAGATTCCAGACTTTTATTAAATGAGAGAGAAATCCACTAGGGCAAAAATACTATAGATACAAAGAAGAGGAGTGAATGTTTTATTTTTTGCCATTTTTTCATCTGTGAATTATTAATGAACCCATCTCATTCGTCGACTTTATGTGATCATGTGATCTAAGGAGTACGACTCTTTTATAGAAGTGTCCATGCTAAGTTTACAAAAGAGGGAGAAATTAGACAAAAATAAAGTTTATTTGCCACATCAGCTGACTTTCTTTAGTGAGCTTTTGAAACATTCGTTTATGTCTCATCATACCATTAGTCAAAGTCAACCATGAGAATCAACTATTGGTAATTAATTTAGGATGTGTTTGGGAGCACTTAATTGAATTTTTTTTATTATTATTATTTTTAATTTCAATCTTTTAAGACACTGGCTTGATGCTCCAAAAACGCAATAAAATTGCAGAAGTTTTCAAATACCTTGAGAAATTTTATTCATCGAACATCGATTATTACAAAACATGAAGCAATGGCATTTTTTCTACCCCACACAGTACTGTGTGTTAACATGCCCTTTGCCCACCACTTTACACTAGAATCAGAAACAAAACCTGACCGCGTTGAAACAAGGAGATATGTACAAACATCTTCAATGTTCGGTTCTCCTTATTCACCACAATGCCTCTAAAATAAACTTAAAAATCGATAGTTAATTCGCAAGTGCTTCATCAACGTACGGGATGTCTGTTTGAATGAACAAATGCTAATTAATGAATGTGCTGCTGATGCACAACACACACAACACACACACACACACACACGAGAGCAAAACAAAGGCAAAGTCAGCTCAGCGGCCAAGAGTACTACTCCAGAGGATGATCCGATTCCCATGTTGACAACAGTTGTTTGATCTGCGACAAAGATTAGTGGTGTACGTACATGCACAAGTTATTAACATAATGGAAGATTTTGGAGTGTCATGCATGCATGCAGCTTCAAAGCTTCGGATAAGCATCTTTCGAAATTTTATGAACAAAGAAACACGCGCCAATAACAGCGTAAGATAGACAGAGGATGACTCCTTTCATGTAATGTGAAGTTCCATCCTGCAAACAAAAAAAAAAAATCATTCTACATATAATTAATATGTGTCTAACTATTTTTGTATGTTGATGACAGAATTAAACCTGCAAGGTGAAGGCTACGATGATAATCGCGAAAGCAAGAGAACCAGTTTCTAGTAGATTGAAATTAAGATCCATAGGGATCCCCATTATCCAGGCAACGATCACACATAAAGGGACCTGTGAAATGAACGGTTAATATATTATATATATGATTATGTATGATATAATTAATATTCTGTATAATTTGGTAATATTTTGTCAAATTAATCTCACCACAAACATGGATATCTGAGAAGCAGAACCCAAAGCAACACCCAAAGATATATCCTGCATCATACCAACAAAATTTATTCTTCCAGCGAAAAAATCAAGCCATGTAATTCAGGTGGATTACTTTTGCATGAGTGAGATGTATCTGCTTTCATGGGTCCCACACCAAGTGCATCTCACCCCTGCAAAAGGCTCTACTAGAATAATCATAACAAAGTGAGAGATCGTTGCGGGGCCACCACACCATAGGGTTGTCACCACCAATATATTGTAGCGTTACTCATACGTACGCACGTGTGTATGTATATATTGTAGTTAAGATATATATATTTATATATATAGGTAATAAGTATCCTACCAATTTGTTCTTAAAAGCAAATATGACAGATCCAGCATGCTCAGCAGCATTCCCCACTATGGGCAGTAGTATTATGCTGATGAAGCTAACAGAAATACCCCAAGAATCTGAAGCAGCCTAATTGAGAAAGAAAAAGAGAAAATTATATATACGTATATAATCAATACAAGTGCATGCTTATATATGCTTAAGAATAATAGTACTAGATTTCAATATGAAAATTTAGTTAATGATAATATTACATGTACCTCTATTGTACCCACAACATACTCGGACAACAAAGCTATGATAACCGTCATACCAATCAACCAGATAAATGCACTCCAAAATCCAATCACAGCACTCTCTTCCACATAATCGTCATCTTCTTCAACTTCCTGCTAAATATTCAACCAAAATGAGTTGGCACATAGATTTATATATATACAAGTCAACTTTTTATATATATATATATATATATATATATATATATATATATATATATTGTTAAACTTTTTTGTTCTTTTGCTTGTTTTTAAGAGATATATCGGTGCTTGTCAATAAGCATTAAAAAATTGATGATTAATATATCACAAATTACTTCATTTATATATTTATTTTATTATTATTTTTTTTTTCTTGACTTGATATAATAGTGTTATTCACCTCTTGGGATTCAAAAATTTGGCGGTGGGTTTTTAATTGAAATAAGAGATAACCGACATATGCCATGAGCATCAAAATACTGCCCACTCTGGACAATTGAAGAATCGAAGTGGTTGTGGAAGTGCTAGACTCAACAGCATATCCGAATAACAATGGCAGCACAAGGCAAAGTAATCCAAGCAATAGAAGGAGCGAGTTCACGTCGGCCTGCTTCTGTCAAACCAAATAATTCATGTACGTACGTTAATCACATGATCATATATATATATATATCATATATATTTATGAAGTGGCTGATAATTTACAAGATCGAATAAAGCTATACGAGTTTGCAGTAATTTGTATTCAATTATATAAATATCTTACTCTGTCAAATCTCTGCTCTTTTTTGAGGTTGGCCAATCCTCCACAAAAGAGAGAGCTCCCAAGAACAAGAAGAAGGTTTGAGAGAATGGAACCCAAAAGAGAGTACTTCACCACATGTATTTTCTTTTGGTGAAGAGCAAATATTGCTATTATCAGCTCTGTTGCATTACCACATGTGGCATTAAGCAGCCCTCCAACTGCCAAATTCATATATATATATATATATATATATATATATATATATATATATATATATCATTAGACCTCATTAATTTATAAATATATATAGATATCTTATTAATTTATTACTCTAATTGTGTTAATGGGTAGGAGAAGTCATAAGAAATACCTGTTGGACCAGTGTAGAATGAAATTTGTCTTTTTGTAAATGATTTCAGAGAAAAAGAGGGAAAAAAAAAAAAATTAGAAAAAAAATTATAGATTGATAAATGGCAATCATTTAAACATGTACAACAAATTAAGCAGGGAAAAAATGTAATCTTACTCAGTTAAAAAGCTGAGACGTTCAGCAAGTGGAGCAAGCCCTAGTAAACTCAGAGCAAAAATCCAAGGCTGATCAATTAATTGGTCATCCAAAGTAAATAAGTCATTAGGAAAAATCCAAGGCTGATCAATTGGTCATCCAAATTAAATAAATAAATTATTAGGAAAAAGCTTGCAACCACCTTCTAATTAAATCAAGATCAACTTATTCTACAAAAAATAATTAAAAAATAAATAAATAAATCATGATCAACCCTAGAATCCAAAGCTGTAACAAATTTTGTAATTTTTTTTGGCCCTAAGGCTAGCTGTAACACTTACTCTTCCAAAATTGCAATACTCAGCTACGATAGCCAAAGGAATAGCTGGGAAGAGCACACATAGCTTGGTTCCTAGTATCACCTCTTGAAGGTTGATCAGAAATTGTCTAACCAATCGGAACCGAACCTTCGACACAAGTGCCGGATCGGACTTCTTACGCGACAATGACGACGACAAGGTTTGCGCGGTCCGGCCGGTGACCAGTTGATCCTTGCTCATCAAGTCCTTTGAATCCCCATTTTCCAAGTTCCAGTAGTCCTGTGAACTCATGGTAGCGTATGTAGCACTTCTCTCTCTCTCTACAAATTAATTAAGTAGATTGGGTGCTAAGGGAAATTGAAGCACACACTTGTTATCGACTCTCTCTCTCTTTAAATATGTAAATGTTGCTTGTCTAAGAGTATATATAGGACAAGGCCTGTTTGGATTGAACTTTCCTGGAATTTTCGCAACCTTTGTTTCCTTGCCCTGCATGGAGCACACGTACCATGCAACAGATATGTTCAATTCACAAATGTACAAGTGCCCTTTTATGTATATTTTGCATGTAATAAAACCTAATTTTTAATATTTAACATAATTCTACTACTGTACGTACTGTTGATCATGTGATATTAGTTGACAGCCTAATCAGGACCATTCATTTTAAGTACCATTCAAAGTATATTGTGTATATATATATATATGTACTACTAATAATATTTAAGCTTCAGTGAAATATATACTTAAATAAGAGTGACAGCCCTAAAAAAATTGTGAATGGTGTTATATATATATATATATATATATATATTTCCCAGTATAATAGTGTGAGCACGAATACATTATGCAAAATCACAAGGAATTAACGATGTTAAATTTATGAGGCGACCATGAAAATTAATGCTAGAGGAAGTGAAACCAATAATAATAATTAAAAAATGGATTTAGCTAGGGTTTTGAGCTTTGGGTTACAGATTACTGGAGGGTTAATAATTTTTTTCTTCCTCTACTTTTAGAGTAAACACAAAATATAAAATGAAAAAATGCTCCATCTCCACATTTGCAACTAATGAGAAAGTGACAATTTCTCTACTCTGCATGGAAAATGCCTTGCGTTGCAAGCTAATTGACAATTCGCGATTTCGTTGCGATAAAGGCAACATTATATTCAGAGGATCAAATTTGCTGATATGCCATCGCAATCACTGATAAGGACTAATTGCGACAACAACTTTGCAATTACTTGTAAAGTCTGTACAGATGCTCCAAGGGTTACATGTTCATTTACATATACATACATACATACATACATATATATACACACACACACACACACACTTAAATTATAATGGATCGAGGTCGTTATTGAATGGGGGAGGTTGGGAGAAAATATACTCCTACTTCGTTGTTTTTTTCCAATTAATTAGAGGTAGTCATTTTTTTAACAAAAAAAAAAAATGAAGCTAATCCAAGCCCTAGTCAAACTTTTTTTTTTTTTTAAGAGTGCTATCGGCAATTGCTAGGGCAACGATAAAATAATTTTCTTGACCTAAAAAATTAAATAAAAAGAAATGTTGTGATTAATTTTCAATCAATCGCAAGACACAAGTGCGTGCTACCTAAGCTTAAGTCAAAGTAATCTTGAATTCAAGTCCAGCCAAGACAATAAAATGAGTGTTTGAAAAATGACCATTAGATTTAATCGAACGATCTATATAAAAAATGTGGATTAATTTTCTTGCTCCACAATGAGCAAGAGATCAGGACTCTACATAATATAAGACACGTTTGTTAAATATATATAAACATATTTAACCTGCTTTTCACGTTTGTTAATATATCTGGTACGCACCTTTGATCAAATGGAGAAAATCAGATGTGGAAAAGGAACTTAATGTGAGAAAGCAGAAATGAATTCTGTACCATAAAATAAGAACCTTCCTAGAATTTTCAAGGAGTACTCCACATATGTTTATTTTTAATAATCATCAGTAAAAAAAAAAGTGGACAAGAGCAGAAACAGTACTAGAATATTGGTCTGACTCTGAGCCTAAGATAGGAAGAAAGTTGGAGGAAGTTTCCTGATACTGAGTCTGAGAATAAATGATGATACATAATGCCATTTTAGAACACTTGCTAGGAAGATGACTTATCCAAACCAATTACTACGTACTCCAACTTCCAAATTTCTGGTTGGTCCTGTCTATATATATATACGTGTGTGATGGTTAGTACTTTCTTTCTTTCTTTCTTTCTTTTTTTTTATTTATTTATTTATTTTATTTTATTTTGTGTTTGTTCCCTAAATGGGAATGTGTACGTGAAAAAATCGATATAGTCATATTAATTCATCAATAAAAACAAAATATCTATGTCGTTTAAGGTTAATTGGTTAAAGAAAGTTTATGGCGAATGGGGACATGTAGAAAAACTTTAGTAGGTCGTTGAAGAAATGCCACGCACAGTGGTACTATTCACTGATATAGTTAATCTTATTAATGTGGTTGAATATTATACCCATTTTTCATTTTCAAATATCAAATTTTTAAAAAGATATTTAATGAGCCACTGAGTCATCACAATTCTCTTCATTTGATCTGATATGCTCGAGACACGAAGCACTAGGCATATTCAATATCTTCTCTATATTCAGAGCTGCCCTCAATCAAACATTAAATTATTGATGAGAGCATCCTTTGAACAATTGATTGACAAGCTATTGGAATTAGCTAGACAAATGAATATTTATTACAAGTTATTCTTTTTTATATTTCAGGTATCGATCTACTTTGTCTTTACCATACTACAACACTCAACCATCTATTTAAAACATAGAGAAAACATCCTTATGATATGAATATAACTACTACGGAGCAACAAAAATGTCTTATTCTCAACTACTTAAAATCCTTACATGAATTATTCAAGGTTGTAACCTTAGCCAAACCACATGTTTTAGGGTATCCATAGAATTCATGTGTGAAACTACCTCACATAATTCTCTTCCTTTATTAGGAATGGGACAGCAGGCACGGATGTATGAATACTTTTTTGTATTCATATTTTTTTGTAATTATATCCATAAAATTTTGAAATTACCTCCACTAAAATTATGAAAAAACTCCTCTATATAAATTTATCCTCTTCATATAAATTTTTAAATCCGAAAAAAGCTTCGTAAAGAAACACGGGTTATTTGGTTAATGTAGAAATTGGAATGTAATTCCGCTATAGACTTAATCAGGGAGGGAACTATGATATTGGTCAAGTGAGCGGACTTTTTTATTTATATTTTATACCTATAATTTTGTTAAAATTTTAGTAATAACTAATATCCCCACTAATTTTTTTGTAAGACTCTTATATATGTATATATATACCATTTCCCACTAATGTTTTGGTAAAATCCCTTAATGTAAATTTATTATTATTATTATTATTTTGGGTTAGTTCCTAATGTTGAAAGCTTTTTTGTTTACTAGTATAAGAGCACGTGTATGATTGGAATTTTTTTATAAATAGTTAAAATATTTAGTATAAAAATATATTTTGTACTTTGTATATTGAGTTTAACAAGTATATTTAGAGAACTAAAAAATGAACAAATAATCTTTTTTAAAAAATAATAAAAATTAAAACAAAAACAAATAGAAATTAAGAGAATTTATACTAATTTGAAGGGGAAAAAAAAAAGTAATTACAAGGAATAGGGAATTTTTTTAATTTTCGTATGCTTTCTCTTCCATTATAATTTTTATCATTAAATCAATGGAGAGGGAGAGAGAGTGTGTGTGGAAACAGAAATATAATTTAGGAGTTCTAAAATTTTAAATACACCCTCCTACTGAAACATCTAACAGAGCATCACAACAGATCTAATGCACAATATATATCAATTAGTTAAAAAAAAATTAATCACGAAAAATAGAAAACAGATCTATAATAAGTTTTTTATTATTATTATTATAGAGAAACAAAATAGATAGCAACAAATAAAATTTAGAGATAATAAAATCTAAATTTGCAAGTTGTTATTGGTTTCAATATCAAGCTTCTATAATGTCTTTGAGATTCAAAAAAAGAAACAAAGAAAAAAATTATCAATTACAGTTATAAATCTAATAGACAATAAGAGAACATCTAAATACAAGATTTAATAGACAATTTCAAAACATCTAAATAACCAAGCATATACAGAAAGTGCTAGAGGAAGTAAAATAGACCATTGATGTTTTAGAGAGAGATATTTACCGAAAAAAGTAATTGGGTGACTTGTACAATTTTGAAGATTAAACTACTGATTAAAAATCAGTAAACTTTGTGAATTTATGATGGTGGTGATGTACGAAAATTAAAAATGATTTGAAATTAATTATTTAATTCAGTAAGAGTTTGGGTTGCGAAGAAGAATTAGTTATTTAATTAAATATGGAGTTTGTATTAGTGGTTGATAGGGTGAGGAAATTGAATTACAAAATAATTACTGTTAATGCATTATATATGTATTATATTTTACTTTATTTTAAGCAGAATTATTTCCTTTATTATCTAATTCGTGTAGAGCAAAAATTCTTGTTGAACAAGAATGAGTGTAAATCAAATCTTGAGGATTCTTTTCATATTCACATGATATAGAGTCATTTCCTTAATTTGTTCCTCTTTTATCCTTTCCAGTGGCTGAAACACAAAGAAAGTCATATAGGAGTTCTTTAAACCTTTAATAATAATAGTGTGTGTATATATATATATATATATATATATATATATCGGGGATATTTGGCAATGTTTGGGTATGTTTTGTCCGAACTATTTTTTTTTTTTTTTTTTACTTTCGGTAAGTAAGTATTTGTTTTGTCTGACGTTCCATTTTGTGGTTCAGCATAATCTGTCGAATGCTTATCAAATTTGATGCCTCTTTCGACGTATTGCTACCATTGTTAATCTTGTATGCGTCACATTATGCGAGAGAAAATAAGCAAGAGTTTTAAGCAAACTCATTTGGTTTTGGATCGAAATCGAGTGTTAGACTCAACAGGTTAAATAGAATCAGTCCAAGCAATCCTCGTATTACTCTTCGATAAAATACATAGGTACTTTAGAGGATGGATGCTTGTATTTCCATCACCATGCATTAACCGGGAAATACTAGTGACGCTTGTAACGAGTAAGTTCTTCTAGAATATTGTATACTTTCTCCAATCGATTCAGTAATAGTAATGCTATGAATAAAAAGCTTTCTCCCAACCATGGGGCTGGTTGGGACGAATGGACTCTGATACATAAATCAGTTAATAAAAGAATAATAAAAGTTTTTATTGTGCTGCTTAAGTTGTATACGAATTCCAGAGTCCAACAGTTAAAGAACAAAATAGAGTATACTTGTTTAGAAGTGCAAAATCGAATGGATACGATCCTCATTGTGTATCTGGAATCAAAATTTGAAGCTATTGCAGAACATATATTTGTGCACACCAACTAAAATGAAGAGCAAATCTTGAGCTTCGTATAGGTTCAAAACAAGTATGATAAGATATATGATTGCTTCCTCACAAGTAATGTTCGACAGAAAGTAACTTAATTTAAGGGACTCGTTGGTACGAGCTGTCTTCAGAGAGAGAGAGAGAGAGAGTGACAGAAATTAGAATAGCTAAAGTTAATACAGTAAACATTTAACGACGAGTTCAACTACAGAGGAAGTTCACCACTGTCTGCAATCACGACTTTGCTTTTGGGAGTGCCACTCTGCTTTCCCTCAGCTTCAACCTTGTAAACCACATCCATACCAGATAGCACCTTTCCAAACACCACATGTCTGCCATCCAACCTGTATATACATTCGAACGATATCAATAACTACGGTAGGTGACACCCTTGACCCTCCTATGTCAGGGGCCATGTCACAGAGTATCCTAGTTGCTAGGAAATGGGCCAACTATTGACATTGTCGAATAGGGCAAAAAAACATGTTGGCACAACACCATTGTGGGTCATGACCATTTGATCCAGTCTATGCTAAACGATCAAAACTACAGGATGATTATTTGATCTAGCCTATGCTAAAAGTTCAACTACAAATAAAGATAATAATAACTCTGTGAATCCTCAAATTACCAGCTAGTTGTGACGGTTGTAATGAAGAACTGTGAACCGTTGGTGTCTGGGCCAGCATTTGCCATTGAAAGAAGCCCTGTACACAAGAAACAAGAGCAATGTCTATTTAGCACAAAGTATAGGTATCGAATCCTGACCTGTCTTAATATTTTATTTGTAATATTAAGTTCCAGTGGAATCTCACAATCAAAGAAAGGCCACCCTCACCAAAACTATATTTTCAACCTCTTCATTACCATTACTTTAATATGGGATCACAATTTGGAAATTATAAAATTAACAGTGAAGTTCCAATAACAATACTAAAACGCATGATATATGTTTGTGTATAAAATTAAGTGATAATCTTTAAATTTGCTGCAAACTAAAATATCAATTATAATCTAAAAAACAAAAGAGATGTATTTAACATGGTCTTTGTCAATTTTAGATAAAATAATTTATGATTTACGATTTTTAGTAATTCTTATTTAATTCAAATAGGTACTATATTTATAAATTAAAAACAGTATAAAAATACCAAAAATATATTGAAATTCTACATACATTTAACAGTATACATATATAGAGAGAGAGAGAGATTTACATATGTATCTATGTCTTTGTCTCTTTTCACTTGCAGTTTGTTCAGATGGATCTTACAATGTTGAAACAACTAAATGAGTTCCTCAATGGTGGATAGAAATCTTCCTACCTGGTCCAGTGTGCTTCAGCTTGAAATTCTCATCGGCAAACTTCTCTCCGTAAATTGATTCGCCACCTCTTCCATCACCGAGTGTAAAATCACCTCCCTGGAGCATAAAGCTGGGAATAATTCTATGGAATGTACTCCCCTTGTAATGAAGGGGTTTCCCACTCTTTCCAACACCTTTCTCCCCTGAAGCAACATAGAAACAATATATAAAACTAGAAGGTTATTAAATTAATGGCAACAATATGAAGGGGACCATCCCAGCCCCAAACCAATCTCCTTTCCATGTAAATATATATCCAAGAATCATTTTCTTCGTAATCCTACTAAACCCTTCACAAAAATTTACATTTTTTTTTCCACACCCAGCTGTAAGGGACTTAAAGGATGATGAACTTCAAAGAAGCAAAATTAGGGGCCTGTTTGGTTCAGTTTTCTAAAAACAGTTCTCAAGAATTCAAAAAACAGAATAAAAACTGTTCTCTGAAAACAGACCTTTTTTAAAGGAGTTGATTTTCAGTTCTCTGAAAACAAAAAAAACTGTACTAAGAAAACCGGACAAAGCCCCTAAAAATCCCATTTTCAGGTTAAGAACAATATTCAAGAATCATACATATATATACATATACATATATATATATATATATATATGATCATCAACTGAAAGAAATATGGTTTGATGAAATGAAACACGAGAATTTAACCCAAACAAGTCGACATTACGTGTTTACCTGTGCACAGTGCTCGAAAGTTTTCTGCAAAAAAAAAATCAAAGGTTAGTTTCAAATTAATAATGTGGGAATGCTCCGTAGATAAATTTATTGACTATCACTTAATACAAGCTATGTACCTGCTGTCTTAGGAACTGTCTTCCCAAAGAGACCCATCACGATACGACCTGAAAACAAAAATCGCACAAATGTTCAGACATTTTCAATAGAAATGTTATTAGGCAAATTTCAACATAACACAGATTCCATAAAATTGCATTGCAATTACCCGCAGGTTTTCCCGCAATCTCAACATCAAAGTACACTTTGTGAGTCACTTCCTTCAGATCCTCTTTGGATTTCTTAGCCTGATTCAACACGTTACGAAAAAATAACCAAAATGATCATCAAAATCAAACAATAAAGCACACGCTTTTGAGATTTAGCTGGAGTGTTTCAGTGTTTGTACATAAATATACATATATATGAGAAGATCTACAAACATTGGCCTTAACATTAAAATCTAAACCATTAAAGCAATTGATAATATCAAACATTCATAAAATCAATCGCAATAAAAAGTATCTTCGTTTTACTGACTGCAATTGTATTAACTTTTAAAAGTGAAGATGATAAGCGATCTTTTTATGCTATACATGTATGTAAACAAATTTGAAACCCTAGAAGACGTGATCGATCATTTTCGTAGAATTTTGATAGAGAAGATCGTACCTGACTCAGAGCTAGGGTTGCGAAGAGGACTACAGTCCAGAGCAGCTTGACGGAAATCGACATCGTTCTGGCGATCGTCTCTAACTCACTTCTGGTTTCGCCGCTAAGTGCAGATATCGACCGAGGAGATCCAACAATTTTGATCTATATACTACTGCAATTAGGCCCCACTGCTGTAAGAGTAACCAATGGACGTATGACACGTAAGTTTGATTGTTGTTTTTGAAGAAGCCCATTGGTTGTAGGGTTGTGGGCTTCTCTATAAGAACACGTAGGGTCGTCAACGGCCTGGGTTAGAAATGAGGACATCCCGAGCAACCCAATTAATCTCGGTCCATTAAATATATGATGAGGAGTATTCAAGAGTTTTACAGTTCCAAAAATTCGGACTAATTTTTTTTGTGAGCAGGAATTTGGTGTTATCGTGATGCGAAGTTAATAATATTTATCGCATCACGGTAATATCAATTTTCAGTTTCTCACTTATATAAATTAGTTATTCATTTTTAAGGATGACAATTTGACCTGTTCCGCGGTTACTCACCCCACCCGTCCCATTTTTGGCGATTTTAGGGACCGTTTTGCTTACTTGGTAGAAATGATTTGATGCAATAAAAACTTGCGCGGGTTTGGTATAGGGACAGGGGTAAACGGGGCGGGGCGGGTATCTACTAGGGTAAAAATGTTAAACGGTTACGAGAATGGGGTAAAAAGTTTCTCCTTTTTGCTGTTTTGGGCGGGGACGGGGACGAGATTTTTAAAAAGTTGCGGGGTTGGGAGAAGATATACCCGTCTAAACCCGTCCCCGTTGTCATCCCTACTCATTGTCAATCTTTGTATAATGGGCCTAAACTGGAAAGAAAATAAAAATAATGGGCCCAAACAGCCCAATCAAAATAACAAATGTGCATGGATATCGGAGTCCTTCGACACAAAAGTGTCAACTTAAATTCTTTGATCTACAACTTTTCATTGGGTCATGTTTACCAGAGGTGGGTTGCATCTATGATCAATCAAAAATTGTTCGGTGGTAAGAACATTTGTTTTTTTAACCTCAAGAAGTAACATTTAATAGCATCATGGTTAAAATTATTGCTCAAAATCTTCTCTCTCTCCCTCTCTTCTTCATTTTGATAGGAGATAGCAAAAACAAGCCTTTTTTAGAAGGAGAAGAATTAAAAATAAATAAATGCAGCATAAAATTATATAATTGTGTATGAATGACAAATTCTGAAATTTGGCACATGACTACATGAGTATATACGTAAATGATCAGAGTCAGAAAAAAACAAACCTTTTAGAAAAGGAGAAGGAGAAAAAGAATGTATACAACCTAAAATTGTATAATTGTGTATGAATGATAAATTCTGATACTTGGCGTATGAGTATATATATGTAAAAGATCCGAAACAAAAACAAAATCAAAAACAAAAAATTACTATTAAAAGTGACGTGAACTTTAACTGTCTTGTTAGTTTGAAGAAATTAAAACTATAATTTTATTTTGGAACAAATTAAAAATAGAAATCACTTTCTGTTAGCAAACGAATTCCAAACAAATCATTGGAAGTACGTCCGATGGTCTCCCAAAGCCACGGAAACTTTAACTGTCTTATTATTATTATTTTTTTCACTCTGTCTCTTCGAGGTAAAAAGGTAAAGTATACCATTCTCAGAAATGTATGATATGAGATGTTGGAAGATTAGTGTATTATTTTTATGGTTGTTCTCGAAATGTTATGCTATGTATTAATTAATTAAGTCATATAGGCTATGTTTGGTAGGGTGAGTTTGAAGGGGAAGGATAAGATTAGTTATGAGAGAAAGGGAAAGGAAGGAAAAGATAATTTTAATTTGGTATTGTGTTTGGTTAATTAAGAAAGGAAAAGAAATGGAAATATAATAATTATGTTTGGGGAAAGAAAGGAAAGGAAAGTATTTCAGTAAATTTACTATTATACCTTTTTATATTTTAAAATAAAAATTTATAAACTTAAGTATGCAATATTTGTAAATAAAAAAAATAAAAAAAAAAAATAAAAAAAGAAAAAGAAAAGTATGTAATATGAATATAATATTTTTAGGGCTAATCTATTTAGCGCCCCGCGTCCATCTCTATTCTTGTTCTATCTCTGCAACTCTCTCTCTCTCCTGCAAGTGCAAATTACAAAACTACAAGAATCCAAGTTCCAAACCCATATGTTTATCTATCTGTCTGCAAGAATCAAAGGTTCAAAACCCATATCGGCATATTGTTTCAAATTGTTCCAAAAATCAAAACCTATATCTTTCAGTTTCTATTGCCCACTGTTCCAGTTCGGGTTTGCCGTTTCCATTGCCCGCTGCTCCAGTTCGTGTTCGCCGTACGCAAGTTTCAGCCGCTGACCAGCTGTAAGCTTCCCCCGTTTCTTTCTCTCTGCAACGGCTAACTTATATGTATGGGTTTTGTTTTGCTAAATCAACCAATCAAGGTCTGTAATTCTTCTTTTGCTAACTAAATCCTTGATTTTGTGCGGATAAAATTGGCTTCACAAGTATCACATGTGTCATTGCCTTCTCTTTCCTTCCATTTTCTCCCATTTTTTGGAGTATAAGTAAATTACTGTGCAAAGCTATACTTAACCCTCCTTAACATTCCCTCTCGTTCCACTTATTTCACCCAAATACAACTTTTGAATCACCCTCTATCACCTTCCCTTCCCTTTCCTCCCATTTCCACCCTACCAAATTGAGCCATAAAGTGAGAGCGATAGCGAAGGTGAATTTGAGAAAGAGAACGTGAGAGCGGCAATATTAAATCATAAATAATAAAAATTTAAGTACAAATATGCACGAAGTGTGAGAGTAAGAGCGCGTTTGAAAAGTAAAAACGACACGTGCATAAAAGAATTGTGTGACTTAATTTAAGAATTCACGCTTATATCATTCTTAGACGTGCATACTAAAAAAAAATTAAAAAGGAAGAAAAATAAGGGACAGTTCCACATCGTAGTCATGATTAGTATTGGGACCACATTGTAAGAATATTGAGTTTTCAATTGCAAATTTTCATGATCACATACGTTCTCTTTAATGACACCTAATAATGGAATGTAAAAGAAAGAGACATCTGCCAATAGTTTCACAAATGTTGAAGGAGAGAGTTTGTTAATTGTCAAGCAACACGAAAAAAGGGAACTTTTAATTTGTTATTAATAAAAATTTCAAGTGTTGAACCTATGTTCATAGAGATGCGTAAATTTCAATATGGTGAAAAAGTTCTTGAAGATGATACTTAAATACATGTTTTTTACTTTATTTATTTATTTATTTAATTATTTTTCTATATTTTGATTTTATGTTATTTATTTATTTATTGGATTCTTTAATCACCGAATTAACTGTGTTATATAGAAATTGTCAAATTATGTTATACTTGAAACTGCATGGGAGGTCCACATATTTAAGAACTCATTATTTAGGTAATTTGACACATACAATGCAGTGATTAAGCCCGTATTCTATTGAGTAATACAAATAATTAGTTAAACACTATTTTATATACAATATATATTGATATTAATGATTAATTACATAATATTTATTTTATTTTATTTTTATGAGACTTCCCTGTGAATTCGAAATTGTATTTCACATTGTTTTATTCTGAGTAATTTTATAAAAAAAAAAACCTCCTTAATAATTAAAAGTTTTATAATAAAAAATAAATAAAGTGTGGCAATTTTAATTTCAGAAAGAAAAAAAAAAGTAAGTGACAATTTGAGCAACACTTGCGGCATGGAACATTCGACCGTTGTGGGACCAAATTTCATTGGATTATTGAGGGAGAGAGAGAGAGAGGAAGAAATAATTCAACTAACCGTCGTCCATGGCGCCCCCAACCACCGTTCCAAGGAGAAGAAGACGACACAGAGAGAGGACTGCTTGGTGAACCCTCTCACAGGTTCCTCCATCACCACCGCCTTTTGTATCATACCAATGGCAGGTCAAATCACAATCTCCGAGGTGAGACCATCCAAGTTCTCGATTAGGGTTAGGGTTTCCATTTTTAATCAACCCTTTTAACTCTTTTCAACTAACTCAACGATTCTCTCGATTGTTATATTCAGAATGGAACAAGAACCAGACAACACTCCAACCGTGCCTGTCGATTCGAACTCCAATTCGAATTCGTCGAATTCGAACTCGATTGATGGTCCATCGTCTTCTTCCTCACAGGTCCATGATGAGCACCAAGAAGAGACGACGACGACGACTGTACCGTATCGACTACGCATTCCGATACTTTCTGATGTGGTGTCCAACGAGAGAGACGATGTGCGGTCGTGCCTCATCCTGCTTGTTACATTTTGGTTCTTCGGTCCGTTCTCAATCATCTCTCAAGTTCTTCTCTTTCTTGCTGTTAGTTTTATATTTAGCACTTCTTTCCTTTTTCTTTTTAACGTCATCTGTTTGGTTACCAAGAAACCTGTTAAACAGATTAGAGGAATTGAATTATATGGTTTGGTTTTAAAAGAAATTGAAATAATTGGATTAAATTACGACATATAGCTATACTAGGGACAGTCAATGGAGGTTCTAAGATCCATATTTTCGTATTGATTTCTTTTGTTTTCTTGGCGATCAAACGGGGTATTCTCATAAATTGCCTTCCTTCTCTTGTGGGTTTTCTTTATTTTTTGACTAGATTTTGTGATTTTCTTTATTAGTTATGACTTGATAATCAAAGTTTGTTTTATTAAAATTAGAAGTGAGTTAGAGTATGGCTTTGATAAATTTGTTTGGTTGTGAAATTCTGAAATTCCTCACCAGCAGCTTCCATGACTCTCATTCTTGGCTTTTATGGATCTGTGAATTTAACGTTGGGACCATATTGCTCAAGCCTAATACAAGCTAACCCATTGTTCGTGCAGTCAATTAAGGTTGTTGTTATCTTATTTTCATTTTCATTTGCTGTTGTTTCTTCCACAGCTAATGTCTGGTTATTTTATTTGGCTTATAACCAGGCGCAGGAATTATACAAGGCAAAAGATGGACTCATGCTATTCGGATTTTATGAACCTCCTTCTCTAGATGTTGAAATCACTTGGTCCGAGACGCATAATGCATTTATAGAATCCAGTTATAACAAGGCAAAGCTTCTCAAACTGCCTGGTTTTGTTCTTTTTCGTTCTTCCAAATCTCACATAGTTTCAATTACTTGGAACTGTTCAGATGTCTGATTAATGGTTGGAACTGAATATGCTCTTCCGTTGCAGGAGTGGCAATACTTTCTTAACAAAGGGTCTAACGTTGATATTTCATACAGTGTAAATTCCCCAAGTTCTGCCCCTTTGTCCCTTGTGATAGCCCAAGGTAAATTTGGACTTCTCAATAAAAAACCTAGCAATTCCATTAGGATGTTCATGTCAAGGATTAAACTTATACATGCCTACTAAATTATTAGTCTGTAAAACTATACAATCCCGTGAAGGATTAAAATTTATATCAAATTGTAGATGCTGAAAACTTTGAAAATTGTTTAGGGATGGCCAGGTATTTTTACATATTTCTCAGGGACCACTTCTAGAGTCATCCCACCCAGTATAAATTCTGTGATATACATGGAGGCAAGCAGAGATAGGTGGGATATAGCAAGGCAATGGTAAAAGCTCAGACTCACAATTGTGAGATGAGATCACGAGTTCGAATCTGAGAGCAGACAAAAAAGCTCAGACTCACAATTTTGTTCCTGATCCTGCTTTTAATTTTAAACCTCTTATCTGCTCCTGCACTTGAACTGTGTATGTCTTTGACAACTTCAACTGTAACATCTTTCATTATTATGGCTAAAGAATCTATTGTTTACTAAATACTAGTTTAGGTCTAGTTGCCAGGACAGATAAGTAAATACATGTAATTTCAACATTCCAAAACACTTCATTTATTTTCTTCCTTCATATTTGTTGGAATCCTGCAGATAAAGAAAGTCTTGTTGAGTGGATAGAGGACCCATCATATCCTAATACAACTTTGTCTTGGAACATTATCCATGGTAATAAGGGATCTATTAGTTACTACTACTGTTATCATTATAAAATGTCATAGAATAGGTATCTAATCTTTTTCTGCTTCCTTTAATAGGAAACGGTATTCTCCACCAAGAAATTTCAAGGTCTAGAACATATTATATTGCTGTTGGTAACTTGAACTCTGAGGAGGTGGAGGTAACTATGAAAATTTTTACTCTCTCTATATTGTTAATTTGTGATGTTCTTGTGCTTTGTTTGAACTTAGTGAAATTGTTTCAAAGGGTGAGACTAGAGCTTATGAGAATTCTAAGGGTGTATTCTTATAGTGCTTCTTCAGCAAAATTTAGTCATACTTATTACTTAAGTTGTAGCAAATTCAAAAGATTCAAGAATATTTGTCTATTGTAATTTTAGTTTGCATTTTGAAGGCATCAATTTTTGGAATTTGGATGTCAATTGACAAAATAACGTCTAATATTTTTTCCATTGTAGTTACACTGCTAAAAAACTCCATTTCTTCCGGAATAGGAGAATCTTTAGCAAGAATCTTCTTCAATTATAGGGAACTTAAGATTTTATTCATTTGTCAACACAGAATGGCCAAACAAAAAATATATATACATTTTAGCTCTGATTAGATTTTTTAATGATATATTGATAATTATAAAAACTTTGAATTTCTCAACCTCTAGCACAAATGTCTGCAGTGATCTCTTGCCGTTGTTGTTGCTGTTATTGTTATTGTCAATTAAATTTGTTATATGATAAAAATTACTTCCAAACTGAAAAAAAAAAAGAAAATGAAAAAAAAAAGAAAAAAGAATGATCTAATTCTGAGCATAAAACATCTGCGATGATTTGTTACTCTTAGTTCTTAGAATCACCACTTGCAGCAGTTCCTATTTTCATTTCAATTTTATTTTTATATACATTTAAGGTCTTTCTGTCTTGCCATTTTGAATGCATCTTTAACAGTCAATGTTGAAATATACTTTTATCACTGCTCAATGGTAAGTTAATACACTAACCAGATAATACAAGCCTCTGGATTTTGGGATAATAATGTAACAATCCATCACTAACAGTTGATATGCATCAGCACTAGTGGCGGAACCACATAGTGTTGAATGGGGCAACTGCCCCCTTTCAAATTTTGTTATATTTTATATATAATTTTTAAAAATTGTAAAATTTCCCCAACTTCAAATTATCATTAAAAAAAAAAAAAAAAAAGCTTTGAGTCGCAACACTTCAACTCTTTCTTTTATTAGTCCTTATCCTTTATCTCATAAACCCTCTTTGCGCATCACTTTCCTGCAACTTACATCTAGTTAATCTTCTTCACGATAGTCATTGATATCTCCCTTTTCCCTCCCCATTCTTTTTTCAAGACGGAAATGAGAAGGGAGACTCACATAAGTCCTCTTGAATATATTTTTTGACCCTAAGCCAGAATGGGAAATTCTTAATACTCTGTTTTTCACCCAATCTCACTCTTTGTGGGGAAAAAATGTTTCGTTTTAGGTTACAAATCAAAATATAAGGATTTTGTTAACATCAATAAAGTGATCTTTTAGTGAATTGGTTTTTCACATAATTAAAACTACGATAGAGTCTTGCATTTTACTCGGAGTATAAATATATATATTTTTTTATAAGTAAAATTGTATAAAGGGTAATTTACATAAACCTCCCCTATGGTTTGCCATAATTACATGGACTTCCCCTGTGGTTTGGGAATTTACTCGGACCTCCCCTAACAATGAAAATATCCTACGCGGACCTCTCTTATGTGTGACGGACAGTCAAATACACTAACGGACTTGTCAAAATTACTGAAATACCCTCACATTGTTATCTTAAATTACTAAAATACCCATAAGCTTTTTATAAGAGTGACATCATATATATATGTATGTATGTGTATATATATATATGTATATATGTATATATATATATATTTCTTTTCAATTCATCATCTTGTTCAGTTTCCTCCAACATCTTAGCTTTTCCATCCGCCGCCATCGCCGCCGCTGGATTGTTCTTGATAAGTTGGAAGACGGTGGTTTCGCTTCATGATATGGTTGGTATAAGGGAGGGGGGAGGTTTGTTGTTGAGGTTTGTGATGGATCCCTATTCCATGGCCTGAATTGGGTTCCCTATTCGCTCTCCTTCCATTCCGAGTTATTTAATTGGGTTCCAAGAAAAATTTCTCTGATTATGTATTGTAGAGAGAAAAATAACTTTTTGAACCCACATGCACATATACTTGTTGGGATCTCCATTGAAGCTCTGTTCTTTCTCTTCCTTCCTTCCTTAAATTAGCCCCTTGACTGAACTATAAAAATTGCCACCCGCTGGAGATTCAATCGGAGACCACAAGCACTGAAGCTTCTTATGTGCTATTCTTTCAATTAATTCCCCTCCAAACTTCGACCCCTTCAAAATCCTATGTCGAATGATTTCCACCTCTTTGTCGTTCTTGTAGCCGGATTTGAAGTCAAATAGAGAAAAAAAAAAAAAGAAAAAAGAAAAAAAAGAAGAAGAGGGAGGTGGATTGAAGACGGCCGTAGATGGTGGACGTGGTTGTGAAGGGAGGTCTATGTAGGATATTTTCATTGTTAGGGGAGGTCCGAGCAAATTCCCAAACCATAGGGGAGGTCCGTGTAATTATGGCAAACCATTGGGAAGGTTTGTATAAATTATCCTTGTATAAAAGAAGCCTTCCATATACCAAAATAAATTATTTCAAAACAGAAAAACCGGTTGAGGACAATTATTAATGTATTGAGTAAAAATAGTATCAATCAATACTTAAGTTTTCGTACTTCTATTTTGGTAATATATATATATATATATATATATATATATATATATATATATATATATATATATATATATATATATATATATATATCTTAACATTGTTCAACTTTGGCCCACTAAATTAAATTCCTGGCTCTGCCACTGACCGTCACTTTCATATGAATTGTGTTTGGGGCTCTTTGGTCTTGAAAAATTGTACTAGTCATATGATTATTATTATTATTTTGTCATTTCTTTTCTTTTTTTGCTTTTTATTAGTTGATTGGATTGGTAAAAGATGAAGGATCTGATCACTGCCATAAATCACACATTAACAGCTTTTTAATGTCAGAAAGATTGTATTATTGTGATATTCTGCATACTAAATATGATTAAGTTTAGGAGGCACTTCCAGGATTGGGAGATTGAGGACGTCACCCGGTTTTTGGACCTTCTGTACCGTCAGACGGTCACAGTTGGGGATTCTGATTGTTGGCTTTGGATTCCCAACCCTCAGGGTCGCTTCGAGGTGAGGTCCTTTTTCAAGTGTCTTACGGTAGGCGCTGGAGTCGTTTTTCCTTGGAAATTTATTTGGCGATCTAAGGCCCCCCTCAAGGTGGCCTTCTTTACGTGGACTTCTGTCTTGGGTAGGATTTTGACCCAGGATAATTTGAGGAGGAGGAACCAGGTGGTGATTAATAGATGCTATTTGTGTTTGCGTGATGAGGAGACTGTTGATCACCTTCTGATTCATTGTTGCATGGCTAGGGGATGTTGGGATTTGATGATTGGGTTATTTGGGATTCCGTGGGTGATGCCTTGCTTCACTAGAGGGTTGATTGAGGCTTGGAGAGGGTGTTCAGTGGGGATTCTCATCCGGGATGCTTGGAGGGCTACACCTCTTTGTGTTTGGTGGTGTATTTGGCTTGAGAGAAATCAGAGATACTTCGATGGAAAGGAAAAGCCTATCTTTATGATTAAGTTCTCTATTCTTTCCACTCTTTTTTGTTGGATTTCAGGGAGGGATTATCGATTTGTTGAGGAGGTGGTTGTTTTTTTGGCCTCTTTGAAGGCTTGAGGCGTCTTGGCCTTGTTATTTTGTACTTGGGTCTCGCTCCCCTTTTGAGCGGTTTTTCAATAAAATTTACTTATCAAAAAAAAAAAAAAAGATTGTACAAATTTGGATGCTTTTTGTACATGCACCTTTTGATTGGCTCATAACAAACTGATTGGCCAATCTTAAATCTTAATTGTCCCAGTAGATAGCTTCGTATAAGCCATTGACTGAAATAACTCAAATAAAGTTAGTTGGATTGGGATTCCTTATATTTATTTGAGTTGATGCTTCCAAGAGGCAGTCCTCTATTTGGATATGGTCCAGATGGATCAGTGACAGGAGAGATGAGGAACTATCACGCCACTTATCTACAAGTCATTGTTTTTTTTTTTTGGTTTGCTTTGTATGTATTCTTAGATTTAATCCAGTTGCTCAAGTAGCATATGTATTTTCTATTTAAAATACTGATATCTTTAGTTTTCTATTGTTGTATCCAATAATCTATAATGCATAAATACTGGTATCCTCAGTTTGACCTATTTTACACAATTCTGCTTTGGCTAGGTTCAACTAAATTTCACAATAAAGGGTTTTCTCTATAATACAACCCAGGCGTATTACAAGTGCTCCTTGAATCACCAGTTATGTAGTTTGAAGAATTTTCTTTTAAAGGCAAATGCTGTTGTGCTAACTTCCCCTGGTCCTGAACAGGTAAAGACTGTTTGCCAACTTCTTCAGTTAGAATTTCTTTTTGAAGGAGATGTCCTTGAAATAATGCATTTGATTATAGTTGTCCTTGATGTGTCCCGACTTTTTATTGTCAGTAAGGTTTAGATTTTACATTTTTTCTTACTATAAACCAACATTTAAACGCTGGTAGGTTTAGATTTTACATTTTTTCTTACTATAAACCAACATTTAAACGCTGGCTGTTTCCTTGTAATGTGCTTTAACTGAGAACCTTGATTGTTTCAATTGCAGTTTGTAGGGTATTAAATTTAGTCCTTGTAATTCTGATCTTCCAACCTATAGAGTGCTATTGGGTCTTTACTGTTTTAGCTACAAACCTCCAAGGATTTGATATCTAGTACCACTTGTCACTTAATTGTAGATGTTGAAAACAACTGAGTCTAGCCTGATCAAGTGGCTTGTTACACTAGGGATGTGTTCATGAAGCAAGGAGAATTACTTCATTTCTAACTAAATGTTCTTTAGATCCCATTCATTAAGACTTCATTTTTCATCCATGATTTCAAACTGTTGGCTTCTCTCAGGGTGTACCATATGAATATGGATATGTCAAACTGTCTTATGGGCCACGATGGATTACGTATTTTGTTGGATCAGGTTATTATCATTTGTCTTCATATTCTGCCTTTATATCATTCTGATGACACTCTAGTCCACTTCCTGTTTACATTTGCCACTGTTCCTACTTGTAGGTGCAGCGACTGTACTCATTATCGTGTTATTCAGAGTCTGTAACATGTTCCACATTATCAGGCCTGACAGAACAGGAGTTCAAGCAGAGGAGTTGGGACCTGAAAGAGCTCCATTGCTTTCACGCAAAGATGATGATCTCTCAAGTTGGGGTTCATCTTATGATTCTCTCTCACATGATGAGGAGGAACCGGATGAGTGGCTTGCAGTCGGTTCGCTGAACAGAAAGCCACTAAAGGAAGGGGAAAGCAATAGCAATTGCCGCCGTCTTTGCATTATATGCTTTGATTCCCCAAGGGACTGCTTTTTTCTTCCATGTGGGCATTGTGCTGCCTGTTTTACATGTGGAGCAAGGTCTGTAGACTCTCTTTATCTCCAGTGACATTTAGGTATAAAATATTGTGGACTTAAAACATGGTATCTCTGGCCTTAGAGATTTGGCTGGGGACGCTGGACTTTGTATAATACCTCAATTTCAAACTTCATTATCCGACACTTGATTATGATCAAAATCTGGCAATTGCTATCCACCACCGCCAAATCATTTTTTCCATGTGCTCTCCACTTTTCTTTCTATATTTTTTTAATAATTTTTGGGTTATCCATTCATTTTAATTCAACAATAAATCATCTTGACTGTAGGATTGCGGAAGAGGCTGGTACTTGCCCAATTTGTCGCAGGACAATGAAGAAGGTGAGGAAGATATTTTCAGTTTGAGCAGCTTATGTAAATTCTGTTTGCGCTGGCTCTCCTCGGTTAAGCAACTGTTAATTGTTTGCTGTTGGAAATTTTGATACCCGCACCGGATTTTTTGCACATCTTGGGCATCAAATTCATAGAGTTTGCCAAAGGTTTTGTGCTGGTTGTCACGCCCAATGCCTCTTTTTTCCTTTCTAGGTACCAAATTGGTCTACCTCCATCTATCATTGTACGCTGGTTGTTGAAATGATATTATGTACAGTTTGTGTAAAAAACTGAAGTAGGGTTTACTTGGATGATGGATTCAAATGATGTTCATATGGTCTTCCCTTTGTTCTTATTTTCAATGATGATGATGATCTTGCTTTTTGTGGTGATGTTGGTGGCAATGTTGGAGATGGTGGCAGTGGGCCTACTTTACGCTAACAAAAGAACCCTAAAAATAACTTTTGTTTTGGGCCATTTATGAGGTTATTTGTATGTCTATCCGTGTGTTATATAGAATTTTTTTTATTTCATTCCACTTCTTACTTCCCAGTTCCCCATAAATAAAAAATATATATATTTTAAAAAATAAAAAATATCCAAAAGTAAATAAATAACCTCCATGAAATCCAAATGGCAACTCCATTCTTTGGAGGAAGAATGTTACCTATTCAAATACTTTCATCACTTTTGATTTTAAAGTTGAAACTCACACACTGTCACCAGTTGGTGGTCTAGAAATATCAACCCTTACTTTTCAAAAAAAAGGTTAAGGGTAAAAAAAAAAGGAAAAAAAACTCAACACTTATTTTTCTTGTATAATGACTTATAAACCCTCTACATGCAGTTTAGCTTGAAATGGTATTACACCCTCAAATAAATGTGTTGTCACTTTAATAATGGTGCTACAACACTTTTAATACGGTTCAACACACACGTACCTATTTTAAAAGTAGAACACCTTCGAACTACTAATTTTTTATTTTTTATTTTATTTTATTTTTTCACTTTTTAAATAAGAATGTTGCAAAGTATAGTCCAAGATCTTGTACCAGAGGATATTTGGGTCCTATCCCTTCCAGTCTGTTGTAACCCTATTTTATTTCATCATTTATTTATTGACTCAAATGGTTTACCAGAATTGTTGGACTCTTATGGTTGGATAGAATCAAATTTAGATCATGAATGTGATTGGAATTATGGTTAGCCATCAGAGGTTATTTATTTAATAGTTAGTCTTTTTTGCCCTTTTTTTTAAGTCATTGGCAAGAAGACTAGTTAGTCTTTGCTACTTAAAAATAAGATAAAGGGAATGAAAATAAATACACGAAGATAGAAAGACAAAATTAAAAAATAGAAAAGTAGGGAGAAATTTTTTGACCCACTACTTAACATCACTTTCAGAGATGATTTGGAATGTGATGTGTGTGGCAAATGAGAATTAAGAGAAAATTCTTCCAATGGAAGAGTTTTAATTTCATAGTCCTCCTTAACTGGAAAATCAGAGGCCAGTGCCGTGTTGAAGTTTCACAAAAATTGTTTATATATATATATATAATATATATATATAGTTTGTGGCTATTGACTTGTTTACTGGTGTATAAGAAATTTATACACAAATTCAATCCCGTTGAATGTAAAAACGTAAACTATTAATTAAAATTTGACCATTATTAGTTGAGGTGCGTATACATTTGTTTTATATTAAGGATTTCTCTCTCTCTCTCTCTCTCTCTCTCTATATATATATATATATATTATATTATATACAGACATTTGCATAAGTGCACGTATATTGACTGCTTTTTGTGGAGGGCGGAAGAGATTGGAAAAGAGCGGCCTTCCTTACTGTTCTTTTGCCTGTCACATGAATTTGAGATAATAGGCCCAAAAAATAATATAAAAAAAAAGAAGAGAATAAAAATAAGTTTTGAAGTCCGTGAATTGTCGTTGTCTTTGCCAAATGCCACGATTCAAGCTTGGTCACCACTATTTAATTACCTTTTTATTTTTATTTATCTATTTTTATTTTTTATTTTTATGGATATTCTATTGCCCACGTTGAACATATATTTTGTACGCTATTATGAATCGGTCTACCTACTCAACTTAAAAAAAAAAAAAAAAAAAAAAAAGAAGAAAAAGTAGCCACTGATATAAAATTTTCAACCGTTCAAGAGGTTAAAAAAAAATACTAATAACACTCTTACATATGGTTTTTAAAATGTAGAGATTTATTATTCCATGATTTTTTGTAAGTATAATGACTTTATGGGTATAAATTAGGCACATAATAAAATGGAGTACGTCAATTTGACATATGCTATGGAATTTCTTAAAATAGAAAAAGGGAGTTTATGTCATCAATCATGATATTAGAAGAAAAAAGGGTTTGACAACTCACTCGGAACTCATTTAAGGTATTTCTATCAGTCCTGTGATCAAATTTTGCACTAACTTTATGTGCATGTATGAAAGCTTTGACAACTCAGTCGAAACTTATTTAAGGTATTTCTATCGCATGCATGAAAACTTTGACAACTTACTCCAAACTTATTTATCTCGTGTTTGGCAGAGAAATGAAATGATAATTTGAAATTAAAATTGAAGAAAAATAATTTAAAAAATCAAACTAAAAGTTTTTCTAATTCTTATTTTAAGGCTCCAGTTTTATGTCACCAAACACAACCTAGATATTTATATAAGTTCATATGTAAGATCAAATCGGGCATATAAGACTGCGTAGGTTATGAGTTAGGGACCGAGTCTGATTTTGATATTAATTATTACTCTGTATAATGTATTAAATGCTTATTCTCTAATTTAAAAATCTAAACCATGAAATGATACTATATATTCACTTTCATTTAAACTCATTTCACTTTTTATCAAGATTCGATACGGTATGCTAAAAAAAATTCTTTAACAAGACCAAAAAAGTGGATAGCAATTCCTATTCCCCGGATGTAAAAAATGAAGTGTGACAAAAAAGATGGTGCAATTTTATTGAATGGATATATTTAGTGACTTGGTACATTGATGCATCCCTGAAGAAGGTTTTAAAAATTAGTTTACATCTTTACTCCTCAAAATGATTGAACAATAATGTCCTTTCAAATTCTTGTTACTAATCAATAAAATTGTATGGATCATTCCCTCCCATTAAAAAAAAAATAATAATAATAATAATTTTACCATCCACCAATACTAATCAAATGAGGTGCTACTCCGGAGGAAACAATTTTTTATCTTTAGCTTTTAGTAAAATACTTATAAATTTAAAATTTTTCCTATATTGTCCATAAATCCTATCTTTTGGAAAGTAGTCATATCAATTTTTTTGGGTAAGTAATCAGATCAAATTAAATGACCACAAAAAATTCAGATCAAATTTTTATTAATAGAAAAAATTATTTTATTTTATAGGAGTTCCATGGTAGTTCTAAATATTTTCGATGGATAACGGATTTGTCTTAACAAAAAAAAAAAGAAAAGAAAAAAATTCCTTATAAATATGGTCGCAAGCCACTTGCACCCATTCTCGACCACCACCTTGCCTCTGTCTGCATTCGTTCCCAATCTCCCATAAAACCTCTCTCTCTTAATTTAGGGTTTGTGTTTCTCTCTCCCCCTCCCCCGGTCTCGAATATCACATTTTCCCCTCTCTCGCTTCAATTTCTATCAAAATGGCCGGAAGTGGTGTCGTCACAGTCTACGGCAACGGCGCAATCACCGAAACCACCAAGAAATCTCCCTTCTCCGTCAAGGTCGGCCTTGCACAGATGCTCCGCGGCGGCGTTATCATGGACGTCGTCAACGCCGAACAGGCCCGCATCGCCGAGGAGGCCGGAGCTTGCGCCGTCATGGCCCTCGAGCGCGTCCCCGCCGACATCCGCGCCCAGGGCGGCGTCGCCCGCATGAGCGACCCCCAACTCATCAAAGAGATCAAACAGGCCGTGACCATCCCAGTCATGGCCAAGGCTCGGATCGGCCACTTCGTCGAGGCCCAAATTCTAGAAGCGATTGGAATCGACTACGTCGACGAGAGCGAAGTCCTCACTCTTGCCGACGACGAGAACCACATCAACAAACACAACTTCCGAATCCCCTTCGTCTGCGGATGCCGGAACCTCGGCGAGGCCCTTCGCCGGATCCGAGAGGGGGCGGCGATGATTCGGACCAAGGGAGAAGCCGGTACCGGAAACATCATCGAGGCCGTTCGTCACGTGAGGTCTGTGATGGGCGACATTAGGGTTCTTCGCAATATGGACGATGACGAGGTCTTCACTTTCGCCAAGAAAATTGCGGCTCCGTATGACCTGGTGATGCAGACGAAGCAGCTGGGGAGGCTCCCGGTGGTCCACTTCGCCGCCGGCGGTGTCGCGACGCCGGCTGATGCAGCGCTGATGATGCAATTGGGATGCGATGGGGTGTTTGTCGGGTCGGGTGTGTTCAAAAGCGGTGACCCGGCGAGGCGTGCTCGGGCAATTGTTCAGGCCGTGACCCATTACAGTGACCCGGATATTCTTGCTGAGGTGAGCTGTGGCTTGGGTGAGGCTATGGTGGGAATTAATCTCAATGATGAGAAGGTTGAGAGGTATGCAAGTCGGTCGGAGTAATAATGGAGGCCAAAGGGTTTGCTTTCTGATGCTTCTAGTTCTAGGTGAGGCCCTTAGGCGTCTCTTTTTCCAATATATATTCGCTCTTATTATAATTTTGTTTTATTAGTTTTCTTTTTAGCTTCTGAATGCTTCTAATTTGAAGTTTGTGGAACTGCTTTGTCTATCTGTTAAAAACTTCCCAAAGGTTATCAAATATGTTTCATTTCCTATATAAACTTCGTTTTAATACAGTGGAGTATGTCTATATATATCTAGGGCATTACTTGTGTGCTAATATGTACTCTGTGTTTGAAATAGAAAAGGTAGGCTGTGTTTGAAATAGAAAAGGTAGTTGAATCTGGATGAAGCAATGCTATTTGGAGTATATCAATTTCTTATTAGATTTTCTTTTTTCATTCGATTTACTCTTGTTTGTATCTGTTGCTATTCATTGTTTCCAAAGGCTTCAGGAGATACTTGGAGCTATGTGGTAGCTAAATTTAGTTATTACTATTTTTGCTATTAAAGGGCTCCACGAATTCGTGATCTCTAGGTTGCTAACCTTACCCCGCGCTAGCAATTTTTTGTGCTATCTCCGGTTTTGATATTGATTCAATGAATACTAAATTTTCATTATCATCGTCATCTTATTTCTTGCATTTGTTGTTAACGTATTCTCTATGACAATTTCTTTGTTAGTATTCATTGTTTCCTGAGGCTACCAAGATACTTGGAGCAGCGTTAGCTAAATTTCAATTAGTGCTACTTTTGCTATATCCGATTTTGATATTGTTTGAAAGAGCAGTATTCAGAGAGTCTGAAAAGAGCCAAGAGGTGTGGATCCATACCCTCCCTTATGCAGTTATGCTTTTGTTTACACCCTCCGAAGGAGACCATATCAATAAATGCTAAATTGAATTCTTAATGTATTATCTATGTGACGTTCTTTGTTGGTATTCATTATCTCCCTTGGCTTCAGGAGACACTGGGAGCAGTGTTTTAGGTAGAATTTAGTTACTGCTATTTTTGTTATCTCCCGTTTTTATATTGATTCAATGGGTATTAAAATTTTCCTTACTGTGTTAACTATGTCAATTTTTCTATGTTCAACTCTTGAAACCACACCGAAAGTTTCTCTACATGCGTGCTTATGGTTCCCACCAACAACTTTGAGGGAAATTGGTGATCTTCATTTAAAAGGATGATCATTTTCTTTATTTTTTCTTTTATAATCTCTTGGGCACTTCTGTTCAGTTTTCAAATCTTTTGGTTCACAACATTTTTATTTAAAATAGATAAACAACACATGCATGTAAGTCTTAAGAGTTGAATGTGCTTCATATGTACTAAACCATCTTGACCCTTACTGCTTGTGAAGAAAAGCTCCAAGAGGTCTTCATCTGTGTCCATGATACTTCTAGTTGGCTCAGGGTGACCATAAGAACTGTTATACTCTGGACCATGGTTCTTGGAATCACCATTGACATTCATTGTGTAATGTTAGTTTTTGCCATTGCTAATTGTTTTTTATTTTCCTTTTTCTTTCTAGACTAGATATTTACATGTTACAGATGATGTTTTAGTTTATCTTGTTATACAAGCTGTTAAAAAGGAAGACAATCTTGCATTTGAAACTAGTGTATTGCATTCCAATAAGTGATCTAAATGATTTACTAATTAGCTAGCGGATCCAAGTCTTACCTTGTTTCGGAATTCTGGCTTATAGCATGCTTGTATTGTACATCACCAATTTACCATGATCCACCTTTCCTCTGTTTAGAATGTGTGCCGCAGTACTGACCCCAGTTTTCTTGGCAATTAATTAAGGACTGACCTTCCAGTTAGGATGTTTTTAGAAGCCATAACACTATTAATTCTAGGAGTGCTCTTTTGCTCACAGCCTGACGGTCTTGATTGTTTCTAATTGCGACCAGGCACTTTTTTTTTTTTTTTTGATAAGTAATTGCGACAAGGCACCTTTTTTTTTTTTTGATAAGTAATTGCGACCAGGCACCTTGATTTTTGCTTCTTAAAATTATGCAGTTGTAGGACATTTACTTTAATCATATATCATGTACCTCATATAAAAGGAGGCCCTGAATGGATGGATTGCATTGAGTTCCCAGAATGATTGCTGATCCATTAAGGATTGCTTGACGTACATATCATATGCTAATTTATCATATGAGTCTTGGTTTAGATATGCACTATTCTTCCAACTTCTTTAATCCTTTTCTGTTGCTCTTATATTCTGTCATTAAACAATGTTACAATTCTTTTAGCCTTTTTCTTTTCCAGCCCTCTTTTGGTTCTCAACCTCGGTTTATATTTTTCTGGGCGTAGCTTTATTAAATTAGATGGTGCCACCTTATTTGAACTGAAAATATTGTTCCAGTTTCTGGAGAGATTTCAAAGCATGGATTGTGCATCCTATTCTGTTATTTCTGGGTAAGTATTATATGAAGTTCTTTTGTAGGAGGATTAGTGTTGTTAATACTTGCCAATCACCTCCGGAAATAGTTCGTTGAGACAAATCCTCTGATGAATCTGTTTTGTTTTTAATTTGAAATAGTAGTTTTTATATGCAATCTTGGGCTCATCTTTAGCCGTGCTTGGTCTGCAAACTGCGTGGCTTGATGTTTTGGTAACTTGCGTGGCTTGATGTTTTGGTAACTTGTGGTGTGAATGGAAGTTGATAAAGCTGACTCGCAGATATCAAATTGGAATTGGTGCAATATGCAGAGATATGAATATATGGATGGATAAAATAAACTAATAATGTTGTAATTATTTTAAGGCATTACAGTTATGACTGTTCCGGAGTGCAGTCCCCCAATTGGTTGAAAATTCAATCATAAAAGTTTAATGCATCTTTTTTAGAATGAAATGAAACTTTATAACTTAACATTTTAGGACCAAATTAGCCTTTAAAATTTTTAGTCTTTATTTTATTTATTTTTTTTCTTGTATGTATTTAATCTTTATTATTTACGTTTTTTGTATATATATGTATGCTCGCATTGATGGATTCTTTATTAATTGAAGTAATATTGTGGAATTTGAGTTTTAATTGAATTAAAATTATAGAATTTAAATTTTAGTTAATGTGTAAAAGAGAAAGGAGAATTGTTTAATATGGAATTTTTGAAGGGAAAAAAAAAAAAGAAAAAAGAAAAGGAAATAATTCATTCACATGAGTTTTTTTTTTTTTTTGATCGTTCACGTAATATTGAGGGCGCACACACACACATATATAAATAAACAGTTAAGAACCATTAAAAAAATTAAATAAATAAAAATGGAATATTGAGGGCACACACCACACATATATATATATGAATAAACAGTAAGAACCATTAAAAAAATTAAATAAATAAAAATGTAAGAATGAAGTAATGTATATTTAACAAATTAAAAAAGGAAGATTATATATGTATATGGCAGGAGAGGAAAATGTTAAGTTTTAAAAGTTAATTTGGTTCTAAAATCTTAAATTTAAAGTTAGATGAAAATAGAAAAAATGCATTAAATATATCTTTTATGATTGATTTTTCAATCAATCAGAGACCGTTTATAAATTTCTTAAGGGTATCTGCAGCGGGTCCTAGAAAGCCTATTTCAATGAGGCCCAATGCGCCCCAGCGGCCTGGCGCTAATTGGGCGTGCCCACATGAGTTCGAGGGCTGACTAGTGAAATACTACAAGCCCGAGCCCGATTGAGATATTTTTGTTTTTTTGTTTATTCTTTTGGGCGAAGCATTTTTTTTTATTTTTTAAGTTTAGGCTGCAAAGGTTAGGAACAGTGCCTTTCGGCAGCATGATTTTTTTGAAAGCACTCAAAAAAAGGTTATTTTGAGGTTATTGATTTATTTTTTTTAAAACAAATAAAATAAAATATATTGTTTAAGTACTGTTTCTCCAAAAATATATTATAAGACCTTTTTTTTTTTTTTTTTTTTTCTCCTCCCTTAAAAATTGATTTTTTTTAAAAAAAATTTGATCCGACCTTTTTCAAAATATAGCGAAGTAAATAATAATAATAATAATTTAAATTTTTATATATATATATATATATATATATATTTTAGAGCAAAAATTCGAACAGGTTGATTGAGTATCTGTTTTTAGAAAGTCAAAACTGTTAATGTTACTTTGACTCTTGAAAAAGATGAAGTGACAATTTTGAAAAGTTAAAATTCGAAAAAACTTATGTGAATATTATCAATACTTTATCTGTACATGAAAAATATTTTCTCCCGCGATTTATTTCCTAAATTTTTTCTCTTCATTAATCCGCTTTTTATGAGTGTGATATAAATGTTAATAAAAAGTTACATGGGTTATTTTAATACAATTTTTGAGTTATATCATTCAAATGCCTATGCGCTCAAATTTTCATAATTCAATACAATTACACAATCAACTCTGTAATAAATTAATTCAATCAGGTCATGATCTGCAACCAACCATCAAAAGTGATATCCACCGAAGATTTGCAGCCAGGCATCAACAGTGACATGATGGGACACAATTTGTCATACAATTAAAAAATTAAATAAAACTCACAGATATAACTTATCTACTACCAACTACTTAAAAAAAACCAAAAAAGAAACTTATGTATAAAGGGCAGACTACAACTAACTTCGTGACGCTGGGAAGAAAAGGCGGGAAATGTGTGAAACAAAAGCCGAGAATCATAAATAACAATTATTACATCAGAAGAAGCCTCAAGTCACAAAGCAAGACACATCGTCTACAGATGGTCCGTCGATTTCTTGATTTGTGTGAGACCCCACCTGACGGTGGAGCAACTCCGCCGCTTCTTGATGGAGGAGGTCTAGGGCAACGCCGGAGCTACGATCTCCTATGCGAACCGCATCGTCTAGCAAGTTCTGTTGATTCCGATCCCCATTCAAATCGCAGGTATTGCTTATATACACAAATATAATAAATCATATATTCATAGGTACATACCTCTATAACTTCTTTTTTTTCTTTGTTTTTTGTTTTGTTTGTTTTTTTTTTCGGTATTTGATATATTAGATCAGTAACTGTTTATCATCAATTATACAAACCAACAATTCAATTGAATCTTTGAATTTTTTTGTTCAGCTGAAGTAGTGTTGATGATCTACAATTCGTACAGTTAACTTTTCTTCAAAAGTAGAAAGGATTGTGACCATAGCAGTTGCAAAACAAGAGTGAGAATGAGTTTGTTTTCATCGAGTCTTTG